CACCTTGTGGGCACAATTTCAGCTTATCATGGCATTGCTGCATCTCTTTGCAGGAACAGCCATGTTTTGCAGGCACTTTAAGAGCTAAACTATTACCTATTAAAACTTGCAGGTTTTAATAGATAAATATCCATCACATTTCATCAGCTGAGGCATAAGGAGGTTAAGGGACCTGACAAAGGTGATAGCAAGTCAGATGGCTTGGAATTTTGTAGCTCTGAAAGATCATCTTTCTAAAACAGGAAACCCTCTCAAGAGTAGTAGGTTTTCATTAAAACAACAGTTCAAACCTGTCGATCTTGATATATCAGGAAAACAAGGAATGTAGAAAATGTGAGTGTTAGCCTGGTCTCTCTTAAACTAAACCACCAGGTCTGCGTTCCTACAGAGAAACAAATACCCTGCAGGCATCGTGGTGTCTTTGATTTATTTTTGGAAGCTGAACCTCCCCCTCTTTTGTGTCTGAACTAAGAAAAAAACAAGGATTTGGGGCCAACAGAAGGTTTCTGGAGAAAAAAAGCCTCCAGTCTCCCTGCTCGAGAGTTTGTGACATGAGCAGTTAAACCAGCGTAATCCAACTTAGCCTCCTCTACATTTCAAAATGAGATTAAAGTTCGTAAGTCGCTGAGGGAAAATGTTACCCAACAGAGCAACTGTCTGACTCTCAAAGTAAACACCGGGCCTTTGCAGGGGAGAGCACAGACCTGCTAACAGTCACCTGAGTAACTCAGGGCAGTGGCTGTGCACAGGGGTGAGGCTCGGCGCTGCTGGCAGCCCGCTGGGCAGATGGCTGGCTGCCTTGCTGGTCAGCCCTGCTGGTTCTTGCTTGCGTTGCCATTGTGCGGTAAGGTAAGGTAAGTCACATGAACCCTGAGAAGAGCTTTCGGTTCACTGTTCCGCGTGCTTTCCTTGCAGTGGAAGACTGGTTCTTCCTCGTTGCCCTAGCAGTGTTTAGCTGCACGTACACAAGTGACACAGCTCGAAGTAAGCTACCAGCTCAGCTGTAAATAACTCATGTAACACCGCATCTGTGCGAATCTGCCTCTCCAAAACAGGATCTGCAGATGTGATTAATTAGTATGAGAGGAGCTGCTTTGCTCCCGGAGCTGTTTTCAGCATGCCTGTGCGGTGGTGTCCGGCTGCCATCTGGCGTCGAGTGCCCAACGGGGGCCGCAGTAGGGCAGGGCCCCCAAAGCGTCCCCCTGCCAGCCCAGCCTGCCGACAGGGCTGCTCGAGTGGCAACCTCTGGGCGACGGCCAAGCCGTGAGCAAATCCTGCCCAGACTCACCAGGGCCCCCCGCCACGGTATCTCCCGCATTCCTGCGGCAGATTTGGTATTTCTTATTGTTTTCCCCATCTCTGGGGGAGCGGCTGCAGCTGCCTGGCCGGCCTGCCAGGGCAGGAGCTGGCGGAGCCTTGTGCGCTGGTCCCACAGCTAGCCGGGGGCTTTGGAAAATCTGTGTCATTCTCACCCCACGTCGGCACGTAGGGAGCTGGGGCTGATCAGGAGGGGTGAGATAAAAGTGAGGAAAGAATGGAAAGCTTGAAGAGTACGAGGAGCTGTGCTGCACCACCAGTGTGGGAACGGCGTCTGCTCGGTGCGCGCTGCCCTGTGCCCAGCGTTAGCCCAGCAGCTCTGCTGGAATCACTGCGCTGGTATGCAGCAGCGGAGCTCCTCACGTGTGCCAGCAGGAGTGACTGGTGTGCAGTCAGCTGGATTGTAGCTGGGATGCAGAGACAGCAGTGGGAGTGACTGCTCTGAGTTGGGTGAGGAGGGAAAATGGAGACAGAGTTGTCTTTGGACTCGTGCTGCATAGCGTTGGTCTCTGCAGAGGTACAAATACCAGGGAACAGCCTGGCCCAGTGAGGGCAGGGTTCTTTTATAAGCAGGACCGCTTATAAAAGCTGCTGTGTTACAAGACCAGCAGCCATGCATTTGTGATCTGTGCATTGCTTCACATGGATAGAGACAGAGGAAGTGTGAAGAGGCTTTTGTTGAGTCATGCTGGGACTGGGAGAACTGCACAGATCAGCACGAGGGGGCAGTGGCTCCCAGCAGGGTACCTGATGGCATTGGATGGGGCTGGGCCACCAGCAGCACGTAAGGAGTTGGGCTGTGGGCCTTGGGATGGTGGTCATCTCAGCCACACGTCTGCCTGAGCTGCACCATGGGCTGGCAGCAACCCCCTGGGCTTCAGCTCTGCTTGCTTTTCATCCCATGGCATGTGTTCAAATTGGACTTGCTGGTCATGTTAAATGAAAGGCTGCAGATTCCTTGTGCAGGTAGGAGCAGCCAACACAAGCCTTTGCAAATTGCACTCATACTTGCAAGCACCCCCATAGGCTCCCTGTGACACACTGGTGCTGCACAAGCAAGTCACTTGTGCGTGTGGAGAACAGGCAGCAGAAATAACAGCAGACAGGCCCTTGCACGAGGTGGTGGGGCCAGATCCTGTAAAAGGCTGTGCTGTGCTGTAACTGTAGGAAGCAGCCCTGTTAATTTCCTAAGTGTACAAAGCTGGTGTTAGAGAAGGTTCCACTGACAGGCACAAGAGCTGTGTGAGCACTGAGAACGCAAAATGAAGTGGAAAGGGGAGTTGTTTGTTTGGTTTATTTGTTGATGAGTTTAAAATAATGGCCAGAAGAAAAAAGCAAATAAAATTGTTCTGATTTGGTTTTTGCTTGTTTGTTTTCATGGCCTTCTGTTGATGTTGTGTCCAGTCAGTTGTGGGCTTTCTCTCGGAGTATCTGCTCATATTCTTTTACATTGCCTGCACTGGTTTCAGCTCTGCTTGCTTTTCATCCCATGGCATGTGTTCAGATTGGACTTGCTGGTCACGTTAAATGAAAGGTGGTCACATTCTCAGTAGAAGGAGCCCTTCAGATATGGGATCCGTGCTGTGTCTGCTCACCGTGCCAGGAGGGGAGCCGCTAGCCTTGCAAACAGCAGGTGGGTTTGTGGTCTTTTTCACTTGAGATTTAAACAGGTGAATCTGTGTCCTGCTCTGGAAAGGACAGTAGGTATAAAACCACTCCTGTGGCCTTGGGGCATTTTTATCCTGCATGTCAATGAACACTGCTCAGCGGGATGAGAGAGATCAGGGTGAGGGTGAAGGACAAATGAGGCATGTATACAAGACAACTGGTAAAGCCTTATTTACAGGCAGGTAACCTTCCTTACACGTTTCTCCTTGAGCCAGGCCCTATCTCTTTAGAAAAGCTCAATTTATCCTAAGCTAATGGTAACACTCTTATTGTACAATCTTTTTTCCTAGGCTCGTGGTTACCTCTGGGGTTGTGTATATTGAGCTGAGATGACTGAAGAACCGAAGAGGCTCATGAAGTCGAGGACGATGGCTTGCGGCAATGATGGCAGCAAGGTGATTGTAATACAGGTTGTGTAATGTTTGCTCACCCTTCGTACATCGTTCTGTTTTCTTGTACATGTCTATGGAGTTGATGAAGGGAAATGAAGGGTGCTTTCCATTGTCTCGAGACTCAGCATGAGTAACACCCCCCCCCCCGTTAATCACGGTTCCCTGGAGAAACTGAGCTGCTTAAGGTCCAAACCACCACCAGATGGCAGCTGAAGTTCAAATATGAGATGGGCCCAAAGTCTCAGCAGGGGACTGCTAGAGAGGGGAACTTTGTGGTCCTGGAATTGGGAAGATTAAAAAAAAAAAAGACAGCTATGGTTACTGAGTAATTGGCATAGTGAAGGCAGCGTTGGAAAGTCCCTAAGTGATGGGTGAGTGGGGGAACTAACATTTTAGTGCTGCAAGAGTTCCTTCATTCTATCAGGCAACTTTTGAGCATACTTTCCTTTACATTACAAGCAATAGATTACTGCTTTGTCCCAAGTGGCTGAAACACTGTGTGTGTGCCTCTTATCCTGGTCACGCACCAGTGCTCAGAAATGTTGACTTAAAATGCTTTGTTTAGTCAAGATAACATTCAGAGCAGACATTTCCAGTTCACTTTTACTGAAATAGATGCTGAGGTGACTTCCAGAAGAAACCGCAAGACTGAATACTTGCGTGCTTGTTTGGTTTTGCTTCGTTTTTCTATCTCCCCACCCCAGTCCCACCCCCACAGCTCCCCTGGATACAGACATTGTCCTAGCACAGCATTACTTCCTCAGGTAGGCTTTCCTTTTGTGGCTGGAAAGTTCAACTCAAGTAACCCAAGTTGCTGGAAATCTGCCTGTTACAGCTGGAGAATGAGTGCGTAAGGCTGTTAAAGTCTCATAAATCAGCTCCATAAAGTGGTTACAGGGCAAAAATTGTGTCTTAGGTGAAACAAAGAATGGTACTGTGTTATTGGTTTGTAGGTTTGTTCTCTCAGCAGCAGAAGGAAAACCTGAACTGGGCAGCCAGAGGATAAAGCCCTCTTGTGCATCCTTCTGAGGCACCACAAGCAGCAGAAGCAGCTTCCTACTGCCCCAGCACAGGTAAGTCTGATGTGTACACAGCACTAGATTTTGCAAGATGTTACCACTGATTTGCACTGTGTCACATCTCGTTGGGGATGAGCTTTGGTTCATCTCCTCTTGTAACTCTAAGAAGTATGTGGTGACACGTTGATCAAGGGCTGTTTTGGCTGCAATGTATGCACACTAAGTCTGCAGCTCCATGAGAACAGTAGGTCATCCCTGGGCCAGTAGATGCAGTGGTACATCAGAAGCAAGTCTCTATCAATTCATTTCACATCTGCCACACTTTGTGTTTCAGAAACCACCTAAGTTAACTTCAATCCAACTCCCAGTGACCACACCATTAAGAGTATTCCTTAATTATTATTAAGAGCCAGATAGGAAGAGAACTGAGTAAATACCTCAACAGTGCAGTTATTGACTTTCGGCATCTTCTGAAATCCCACAACCCAAAAGAAACCCATACAAAAAGCCAACTCTACATTCTAGAATGTAATTGATGTTTATTACTTTATTAAATAGCCAATTCTAAAGAACAGTAAAAAACAGGCATCATTTGGTGTTCTTAAAAAAAAAAAAACCAACACAACATTTGTTCAAAATAAAGACTGTTAGAAAAATTAACAAGTTTGGCCCCAGAAGGCGTATGTAGACCTTCTGCTCCCCATGAGAAGCACTGGGCAGTTATAAATACTGTTCCTTTTCATCTAGCAAAGTTTAACAATGTATACATTAGTATTTCCATTACAGTTTTTTTTTTCACATTTTTTCTGTAAACAAGATCAATATAAAACTGCCTTGTTAGCAAGCTTAAGAAACTATTGCTTTTCTGTACAGTAAATACAAGTAGGACAATCCTGGATTTTCTTTCCATTTTCATCAGCATTCCATTTACCAAAACATTAAAAAGATTTCAATTAGTACAAAAATATAATCAAAGAGTAAATGATTTCAGTATTTGAGTGAGTCCTAGTTAACAGGCAATGAAAATGCTACCGAGTTCTGAATCTGAAGATCTGTCTGTACAGCTTCTGCTCTTCTGAGAGCTGAACAGCACAGTGCTGCTTCCAAAGGCACTGGTTATCCATCTGAAACGTTCACATCTTATTTACTAAAGGTAATTTAACATTGAGCTGAATGAAAAACCGCTGTGTTTGGTGTATGTGCAAAAGGCAAAGCTGATTAACAAACCACACCAGTGGGCACCTGCTCTTTACAAGGCAGGACTGACTTCTCAGAATGCCTGTAGAACTTAGCAAGAACTGTGACTTCAGTTAGATCTCAGTCTCATGTGGGTGATCTACTGGGCAACATCACACACTTGTTCCTTCCCTGCAGAAACAGAAATCCCTCTCTTGTTCTCTGCAGGGAAGTTCAAGACTCAATGGAAAATCTTTATTACCAGTACTGCTGAAATGATTGGCAGGAATTATTTTTTTCTGTAGCAGTACTGCTACTGACTCATCATTTTTATATCAAATAAAAATGTCAAATTTAGTTTTCATCTTCCATTTTTCTAATCTGGCCTCTAATTGAGAATAGGACAAAAAGGAGTGCTACAACTATAGGACTGGTCATTGCATCAACAAGTGTTTTGCATATAAACACAAGTTTGATGCAGATATTTCATCTCCATGTGTCATCATGTTCCATTTGTGCGTTCCAGAAAAATCTGTAAGCCAGAAGTGAGCATCTTTTAAACCATGAACAGAGTGCATTACGGTTTTCCAAGTTCTTAAATTCTTTTCTAACCCAGTCTCAGATATACGGCAGTGACAAAAATCAATCTTGCATGACTGCTTTTCCTAAATGTTCTACAGCAGCATTTTGTACATGCCTGTTTCCAATGCTTTTATGTGCATTCCTGCAGAGGACACACAGACCAGAGGAGCCAGGAACCAGAGAAAACGGGCAGCCAGGGATGAAGCCAGCCACATGAAGAGCAACAGGCAGACAGAGGAAAAAGCAAAAAGAGACTAAAAGGAAGGAAAGGTAATGCTCTGGACAGAGTCCACAGAATTGACTTATCCCATGTTTATGTTATACTAACTGAACCAGTATAGCAATTGCTTCCCTTGCTGTTTGAAATGAGTGATGGTGCCTGATGAGTTAGATGCTGCCTGTTTGTTACAGGCTAATACAGAAACCACCGTGACACAGCCTACGCTTAAATAAAAAATCTTCAGTAGAAAAATCTTGCATAAAGGAACAGAATATCTGTTAAGGTGAAGGAAGACAGCAAGTACTGCCAGACAGCACATAGTGGTGTAGTTACTGAGCTCTTAGTAGACACTTCTGCATGGTAAACAGTATTTCCTTTATAGAAAGGCCCTCCTGCTGAGTAAACTAGCATCTTCAAAAGAGCAATAAGCTGTTCTTGCAAAGCAGAGTGAACAAAGGTGGACTTCTGTTCACAAGCAGTATGTCAGCTATCGTCATTACTCAGATGAGGCTTTTTTCCCTTTCCAGCTTTTTTCTCTTTGCTCCAGTTCAGCTTCAGTGAAGGCTGCCGGGCCCCAATTTGTGATGAGATGTGGATTCTTGGAGCCTGGAAGACAGAGTGCATTGAAACAAGAGTTTCTGACAGTACCACCACTCCCACAGCAGCAGGACAGACTCAGGATGATTCAGTCAGCGCTCCATGGTCAGGAGCCATCTCAAAGGCAGCCCAAGGAGCCACCTAACTGCAGCAGGAGGAACACCTGGGACACAGCAAAGGTGCTTCAAGGGAGAGGTTCCCAGCTGCTGCAGTCTCAGCCTAAACATCCAGTAAGTGGTGAAGGTATCTTTACTTTGTGCTTTTGGCAGTCCACATTTAGACTGACTGTGTTAAACACTCAAACATGGCAGGTTCAGGTTGATCCTTGCTTTGTTTAAATATATATAATAATACAATGCAATACTATAATAATGTAAATATTAGAGACAGTATGATATAATGCAGTATGTTGTATCTTAAGATCAATACAACACTGTGATACAAAGTCGTAATATAATGTAACAGTTATTGCACCACATCATACCATATCCTATAGTATGATATAATGCTAAAAAAGAAATAGTTTTAGCAAGGCCCGTAAAGACTTGACAAGGTTCTTATGTTTAATTTTGCACAAATTTAACACTCCAGGTATGTGGATTTCATAATGGCCCTTCTTAAAGCAACTAAGAGCTTTTATCTACTCCTAACTAATTTAATAATACTAATTTATTTCAAGCAAAACCAAATCCTCAGCAGGCAGTAGTCTTATCAGGCAAGATCCTTCAGTAATTGCACTGCACACAACAAGTTTTAAGTCTTATATTAACAGTACTTTTTTGTAATACACTGTACGTAGTGCAGAGTTGCAAACTTCTTTCTTCAGAACCATGTAGGTTCTGAATGCACAACAATCGTACCACTCAGAGAGAAGATCCTACTCTGACCAGCAGTTCTGACAATGTAGTGTTTATAGGCTGTAGAGAAGCCAGTAAGAAGAAAACCTACAGGAAAAGGTGGCCTTGAATACACACCTGATTGACGCACATATGTGAGTACAATGCTTTTGTGATTTTAATGTTGATAACTTAATTACCTGGCTCTATTAGCCGAATTAATCCCTCATGATGAGCTACTTTGTCTTTCCAGCTCCTGGTGTTATTAGCTGCCGTTTCCAACTTCTTTTTAACCTCCTGAAATAAAACATAGCCCCATTTAAAAAAAGAAAATAACTTTATTGTATTTATACAAAAATAAAACATTTTTCAATCTAACAACTGTACCATGCTCTGTCAAGCTGCACTGCTCAGCGTGGACAGGGCTGTTCCATTTCAGATCAACACGTTCACTCACTCAGTCACTGGCTTATAAAGTAAGTTGTCAAGCTAGAATCCAGCACTATCTGGGGCTGTAAGATGCCTGTAGCTGTGTAACTACAACTACTCTTCAAGTAGATCAAAACCATACATAAACTGTGGTTTAGTACGAGTCGTGTTATATTTAGTAGTTTTGAGATCTAATGTCAGCTGCTGAATACATCTCACAGTTAGAAATCGTAACGTGACAAATGGAACAGACTCTGCTGATAGCCACAAGCAAGAAAGAGAGATTCTTCTGTGTAAACTGGTGTTTTGGTCAATTCCAAGTAGAAGGTTGGCATGATAAATTATTTCTAAAATAATGTAAACTACTGCACTCCACCACTTCAGATTTACTGTTTGTTTTTTTAATTCTCTTACAGTCAGCCATTAGTACAGAGTAGTAAATGATACTGCACATTCAAAAAAGCTAGTAAAGTGACCAGAAATATTCCACCTTGGAATCCTGTGCCACTCCAGACAGCTCCATAGTCTGTCCTTCACAGAAGTTAACTCCAAGGACACAGTGACAGCATAAACATACTCCCAATTAAACAGAAATCTCACTGTTTTGTATTCCTGACCTAAACAGAGGCAGGGTCAACACCTCTCCAGCCCTACGAAGTACAGAGAAATACAGTCTCTGCACTCACTGATTCTGAGAAACACTTCACATTTCTTCCATGAGTACAGCTACTGGCCTACACAAAAAAATGCTCAACAGAACAGACAACAGGCCTGGCATTTGGGAGACCAGGCACATTAGAGGATCTTGACTCATTCCTTGCCATCCTCGATATCAATTCAGTGCTTAAGTACTTTAAAGGAACAAGGGCTTTCAGGTGTACAGCAGTATTTCATCTGTAGAAGACACTGTCCCATTACATCATAAAAAGAAATTGAAAGAGTATCTAATTCAAAAGCATCACATTTGGTTATGACAGCAATGGAATTGCATACAGCAACAGACAGACACATGAAGAGTATTTCAGGCTACAACTGAGTTGGCTTGCATAGGAATTAGGATAAAAGAATAAAGGAGTATATTTTAAACCTGTCCTCTTCTTCAAATACATGTACTGGTCTGTGGCAAAAAAATAAAAAATAAAATCACAGAACTACCCAACCTGTTCTTATAAATCTTGTGCTTTCCTAATCCTAAAACAGGCATGACTCTGAGGAACTTCAAATTCAGTTCAAATACTGCATACGTGGCCAACAGAAGAGGCTGATAAACAAAATAAATCGCTCACCTCATATTGCTCAAGGGCCTCTTTCCTTTCCAGTTCAAGCAGTTCCAGTTGCTGCATAGCAACCTGAAGAGCCTGTTCCTTTATCATTCTCTGGTTTTCTAGCTCCTGCTTCTCTGCTTCTGTCATCTGAATGGTCTGTTGCTGCTCCAAGTGCCATTTTTCCAGTTCAGCTCTCTTTGCTGACTCCTCTTCCAGTAATCTGCAATGGGGATTATGGTGTTAGCTGCATTTTACAGTAAGCTGTAGCCTCTGTGTATAGCATACACAGAGGAGAGCCAAGCTAATTGTTTTCTTTCTTGGAAATTTTAATTAAAAATAAAAATCAAATATTGGGAAGCAGAGAAAATGTTACTGCTTCTTGGCTTGTCTTCAGTGTGGCACTGAAAGCCACTCCAGCAGTGATGCAGGCTCACTGCTACAAAGGGCTATTCAGAAAATTCAGTCAATGATGCAAAACAGTGAAAACCAGAGAAGAAACAAACGCATGAGTTATCTTAATTGTCTGGAGAGGACTAACTCCATGAAATAACAGAAAGTGAAGCTCATACACATAACAGAAGATTTAACCCTTTAGCAGTTGAATACAACAGCAAGCTGCATTCACAGCTGCTACTTTATAAAACACACAACTGAAAATTTGTACAGTGATGACAATTTTCAAGTGTGGACAGGCACAATACATGGTGAAAAGTAAGTGAGCCTGCTCTTCTGAAGTTACTGAGCACTATCCCTGTTAGGGGCTAATAAAAACATATATAAAAAACATGAATGCCAATTTGGGCCTTTATAACTTAACAAAAGAAAATCTCCCCTGTTTTTGTACTTTATTTCCCCTTCCCAGCAGTGTGCAAGATGCAAACGGTCTTCAAAAGCATGGCACAGTTGGTTATTAGTGCAGGGGAGGGGGAACAGAAACATCACCACATGTATTCACCACTGGGTAAAATACATACCTGGCCTGAAGTTTCCTTACAGTCTCTTCATCCTGACGTGCCTGTTTCTCAACCTCCAAAGCTTCCTGAAGTTGCTTATACATCTCTTCCAGTTCACGTACTCTCTGTAAATACTGTTCCAGTTCAGACGATTTCTGAGCGACTTGCTCTTCCATTTTTTGTCTCACCTAGCAGCATAAATTGAGGACACGTGTGAGTTACCATTCAATTCAGGTTTCCAATGATAAAGGAAGTACCAGGTTTCTCTCTGATGGCATTTTCAGAGAGACATTTTCACAAGGCCAATCAAAGCCTAGAGTTGCAGCTATGGAACAGTCATTTACACTTTCTCACTGCATGCTGCACAGGATTCTTACAGTGGTTTAAGCCCATGTTCAGTCAGTTTGATCATGAGATTTAGTGTACAGATACACACTAAACAGAAGGAAGGAAAAGCTTGCAGAGTGCCTGGACACAAAGGTGAGGGCACCTTAATTACACTGTTTCAGCTCGCACAGCTGGATGATGGCACTGCAGTGTGGAACAGCAAAGGGTGGATAAAGGGTTGGAAGTCATCTGGGGAGGCTGACTTAGCTTAGAGCAATTACTGTAACCAAAAACTGCAGGTAAGGACTAGAGAAAAGCAAAGGAGAAGCTGCGTATCCACAGCATCATCCCACCTTCCCCCATCGCTGACCAGAGCAGGAACTGAAGGGTACTGCAGCACCTGATCTGTCCTGCTCAGCTCACACTGGGGACAACAGCAGTCAGCCGTCATTAAACAGAGAGCAGAAAGTACTCAAACCTCTGCAGTTAGTAATGCATAACACTTCACAGAAGGTGAAGCACTGCTCCTGGTGTCAGCAAGAAAAGCTTGCTTTCTGTTGCGGTAGAACAGCATGTCCTGCTCCACTGCTGCTCTCCCTGGGCTAACCTAAATCCCACTGACCCAGAAAGCCATGGTGTCCAGCAATGCACGCTCAGCTCATAACGCAGCACTACACACACGTGTCCTGAGGTGTTACTGCATAATTGCACTGACATGACTATTTCTATTTCTTTTCCTCAGCTGACAGAAGAGCCTGTTAATGCCTCACTAAATCCCTGGAGACAAAAGAATTAGTTTTGGAAATCCTTGTCCTGCATCATAAGAACAGCATTTTAATGCTGCAAGTCTTCCTCTAATTGTGTTTGTGGGTAGATAAATACAGAAGAACCAGCAGTCTGAAGAAAGGAACAGTTGGGAGAATACAATCAATTCAGAAAAATCCTAAAATGCATTTTAAATTATGTCTTTGTTCATTTTCTATATATATACAACGTGGACCAGCCTTCACCACAGATCTCCACCTATAAAAATAAGGAAGGATAAATTCAGCCTGCATTTATTTTGTCAACCATTCATTCTACTTGTGATTTTCCAGTCTGAAACTCTGAATGCTGTGCAAATCGTGGAACTGTTTCAGGTTTTTTATTCCCTTGTAAAATTATTTTATCCTTACATCTCTTATAAATGTAACACAGACTGCATTCTCCAACCTCCTGCAAGTTCTGCTGAAACGTTTTGGTGACTGCATGTGAGGGATGTCACTGCTGAGCGTGCTGACCACAGCCTGGAGTCGCAGCTGGCACCACTCACTGCAGGAACCACTCACCATTTTCTCTCTCTCCAGCTCCAGACTGAAGCGATCCTGTAACTCAACTTGGGTCTGAAGCCTCCTCTTCTCCTCCTCAGCAGCACGGGCAGCTGCTGCTTCCAGTTGCTGGAAGGGAAAAAAAATTAGGAAAAACTAATTTATCAAAAGTAAACCGTTTGAGGAAATGGAATTCAATTAATTTTTTGTTTTATTTTTTCAGAAGAAGCCTTCCAAAGCATTAAGACTTCAGCTGTTCCTTGTTTTTCTTTTTAATGTCTGAGCCTATTCTCAATCTCTAAATACCAATTTTAGTCTTACTACTGCAAGACAATTTTAAATTTATAAATTAAAAAAAAAAAAAAAAAAAAAAAAATCAACTACCAGATTTCCTCCACATTTCCTTTGAGATCTCCATGGCAAAACCAACAAAGAAATACAGTTATGTCTATTTTGTATGGGGCAGAAAACTATTACAGAAAACCCCATTCCAGGCAGGACTACACAGGAGTTCAGCAACAGTGAAAACATACCAGCATGCACAGAGTTCATACAGAAAGAGGGAAGCACTAAATTGCCATGGCAAAGCAGAAGCACCACAACAAGAAGTGATTGTGCTATCATGAATCACACCCCCTTAACATGCCATAAATTGCCATCTAAGGTAAAAAGAATTATAGAAAATAATCACCACTTGAAACTGGGGGAAAAAAAAATCTCCTTGTTAAAGCTCAAGCAAGAGAAACAGCTGCTGGGACCTTCACAACTTCTTTCAACTTATTTAACAGGGTTGGTTGTTTTGGTTTTTTTTTTTGGTTTTTCTTTTGCATCTTAGTTTCACAAATAAAGATTGCCATTGCATTTATTCTTTTCATCTTACTTCAATAGCACCTACTTTCAGAGTGCTGGGAGGGCTGGAAATGTACAAGCACCAGTCAAAACATTAACAGCACTGGAAACAAAATAAGTCTTTCACAGCATTTTCTAAAGAAACTTATCTGATTCATGGGCGAGAACAGAAAACAAGTGCCCTTTTTTAACATGCTAGACTGGGGAGTTAACTGCCACAAACCTTCAGCAAGAGAGGGACACCCATCTTAAATGGGCAGAGGGGAAGGCTCCCAGTTTCTTTTTAAGCTGTAGAACGCAGTATAGAAATGCTCTCCTTTGAAAGGCTAAAATTACTCCACCAGTCTTATGGGAGTATTTATCCCTCCTCTGCCAGAACATCAGTAAGCATACAATCGTGGTCAAACCCCAGATGCTATTTAAGTGAAGTTTCCTTCCTCACATTCTAATTAAACAAACATTGCCAGAGAGAGCAAACCTGTGCCAGGCTTTTGCCACAGCTCAAACGAGCTGCTCTTAGCAGCAGCTCCCTGCTTTCCTTGCAGAAACCTGCATGGTGCCTGCCCAGTAACATTACCTGGATATCACAGCAGCTATGGGGCATAGGGAGAAGTCCTACAGTGTGAGGAGAAGGGCAAGAAGAATACACTACTCCAGTGGGAGTTAACACAGCCCCCGAATCCCATTCAAGACCCCAAACTGAAATAGAAAGGGTGCACAAGGCTTTTGCATACTCTCTTGGTAAGAAAACTTACCTCAGTCTATTCAGTGTGTGCATCTCAAAATTCCATTTTATATTATGAGAAAAGGTCTATTTTAGACAAAGGCACCTCTATTCTTCTACTATTTTTTAGAGCAGGAGCTATCAAAACAAAAACCGGTCTCAGAGTGCACTTTGGCAGCTGCTGTGTAGGGCTGGCTTTCAGCCACCTGCAGCAAACCAAACTCAGAGCCTGCCAAAACAATTCCTTTTCCTGAATCGTTTACAAAGACTTTTTCTTGAAGAGTTTTGGTGTTGTGTTTTTTTTTTTGATTTTTTTTTTTTTTAAACTAATCAGTTTAAATTCTTCCAGCATAGTAGCTCCCAGATAATTCCTCTTAGCCAAAGTGCTGTATTTATGTCAGAGACCAAATTCTTTTCCTTGAGAAGTCATTTCAATCCCACCCACTTTAAAAGATGATCCTTTGCCTCGGCTCCTGTTGGTTTACCCCCTGTGATTTCAGAGAGACAGCCTGGAGCCTGTCAGCATCCTGCTGCTCCCTCATGAGTGCTCTTCCTATCGCCTTCCCCTACCATCTCCCCAGGAAGACAATTGCACATAGAGATCATAGGGGTGGATTTCTGTTAACAGGTGCATTTCTTACCAGTAAATCTGTAATGCAGGCTACCCTGGGAAGCACATTTGGCATTACAAATTGCATACACGTGGTGTATAGGGGTAAAATGAAATTTATAGAAATGGTTTTCTGCTGGCAGATTTTCCTTTAAAACAAACAGAACACACTTGTCCTCAAGGGGAACACAAAAAATCAAATTACAAAGAGTGAACAAAAGACTCTTCGGACTAAGCATGGAGCAGAGATCTCGGCTGCCCCAGCAGGAGGCACTCTGCTCAGCAGCTAAGCGTTGGTGAGCACTTCAATGGCTCTCTACCTTAATTCCAAGGCACGCTCTTTAAAAGGCATCACGACAATAAAACACATCGTAGCTCTCCCTGCAAGTCTTTACGAGGAAAAGATGGGAAGCATATCAGAATTCTAATCAGCGTCTCTGCAGAGAACTATCACACACACTCCTCGTTCCAATGATCCATCAGCACATTCAGCCCACTGCTGGTGCACAGCCACAGCAGAGGTGCTTTCAGCCACTAGATTTAGACTAGATTTAGACTGTCTGTGAGGAAATTATTCACAAAGCCCTGTGCTAATGCTCAAATTTCTAGAGCAATTCTCAGGCTTTCAAAAGACATTCCAACATTTACAAGGAACAAGCATTTAACCAACATATAAATAGTATGTTTCTCAGCTCAATAAATCTAACACCGCTACAATATAGTTAAACCTATACATATTCACAAAATCAATTTGCAGCTTTGGAATCTTTGTAAACTCAGCTTCTATCTCTAGAAATTAAGTCTGTGTGAGGAGGAGTGTTCCTCCCCAGATAGTTTGCACAGCATTAGAAAAGTTGCCTGGGAAATTCAATGGGAAGCCCCCTGTTCAGCAGACATTTCCAAGGGGAAAAAACCCAAACCAAACAAAAGCAATTGAAAATGCGAGAGTCCCCAGCCCCCAAACACCACGCACAAAGCTGGTGCTTTCCTTCACCACTTTCAGTAACATTCATGTGCACAGAGGATGAGGTCACAGCACACGGGTTACCCTGAGCCCACAGATCCCTGGAAACGGCTGCAGCAGTGCGCCAGGCGTTACTGTGGGCTGCAGCAATCCATTACTTGGGCACTCGAGCTGGCACAAGCTCCCCTCCTCTATTGGAGTTTGCTTAATGTGCCTCAACACCAGAGCAGCCAAATGGACTTCAGAAGCCCATCTAAACCATGAAGGCTGAGCCTAAAGTGTGCAGCTCAGCAGCTCGCACTCCCACCTTTCTCACAGTTTCCAGCTCCTTCTGCTTGTTCTCGTTGGCCGCCTGCAGTTCCTTCATCTGCCGCTCCAATTCCTCCTGCTCAGCCAAGAGCTTCTGGCGCAGTTCTTTCCGTTTCTGGCGTGCTTCTTTGTGGGGCGGAGGGCTCCCTGCTCGCAGCAGGCTCACAGTGGTCTGTATGGCTGGGAAGGAGTGTGCAAAACACACGGAGAGTAGGAGAACATCACTGATGGGAAACACCCAACTTTCCGGACAGCCTAGCAAAATGAATACCTGTGCTGGGGGTTTTTTCCTGTTTTAATGCGTGTTTAAATCAGAAACACAACCCCCCAGGTAAAAGGAACTTGGCTTTCAATAGGCTGCGTGCCACAAGAAGGGTCAGGCAATTCCAAGGCATTCCGTCAGTTCTGATACTGACGTCCAACAAACATTGGGCAAACCAATTATTTGTATACCTCACTACAGAAACAACTCCCATATTTCTCACTCCCTGGGTTCATCAAACCTAATCAAGAAGTCCAAAGTGTTATCTAACATGCACGCTCACTAACACTCCCAGAACCAACCTTACACCATTTTTAGTCTCACTGGAAAAACAGTTTCTCAGTATGCAAGCAGTTCTCATTTACTTATATTCAAATGAGGCAATAACAGGCATTAGAGCTGAGGAGAATGCTTTTGATAGATATCAATATAGATAGATGCTTTTGATATATATCAATACATGCATTTTATCTGCCACAACTGTGAAAACAGATCTCATTTTAGAACCAAGTAATTCTTCGTACATTAGACTTTGGTGCAAAGTACATGTTTCAGGTAGAAAGGAAGTATGAAACAGCTCCAAATAGCAGCAGTGTAAATATTAAAATGCTGCACATGCTTAAATATTGTTGGCAACTGTGGATTTGCAGAAACCTCTGCCTCACCCTGCAAAAGATGTGTGTAATGTCACACTGTGCATTACCCGGGAAGGTCTCAGAAGGAGCAACTTCTTTGTGGTAATAGAAAAGGAAGTCCCAATTCCCAGCCTTACCCTCAGCTCACCAAGCCAAGCTACCTCAAGCAAAACCATGAAAGCAAAGCCTATTTATGATGCAGAAAGAAACAAGCTTTCCCTTTCTCCTCAAATCCAACAATTTCCTGTGTTTTTCCTGCCTTTCTCACCTGTAGAAGAGCAGCCATATAGAAAAAGCAAATAATAACAGTCATTTAATTTGGGCTGCTTGAACTGAGGCACCTGAATGAAATAAACCAATTCCTACCCTATGGCTCCCTTCCTGAGTCACAGTTTCCTCAAAGATCACAAAATGGAACCTCCCAAAATCGCAAGACCAAGCATTTTAACTCTGAGTAAAGCACATCTCATAAGGCTTCAGCTTACTTTAAAGCCCTGAATGCTGGGCAGCTTGATCTAGTGGATGACAGCCCAGCCCATGGCAGGGGCTTGAAACCAGGCCATCTTCAAGGTCTATCCTTAAACTTAAGCCATTCTGTGATTCTATAAAAATAACTTCAATATTTTTGAAACCTTACCTTGAATCCACTCTTGTTTCTTCTTTTTATCAGAAGCACTGATCTCAAAGCTTTTATCAAGGCATTTTATGAGAAAAAGGCATTTCTTTCCATCTTTGTCAGGCAAGGCCTAGAACGTATGAAAAAGGATTGTTCTTGCAGACATCAAGTTACACCATCAAGCCCCATTTCTGCACTTATCTTTTACATATCTACAAATACTAATATTAAAGAAAGTTTATACAAAGAGCACGTGTAGACTTTCATACAAAGTAAAAAAATGTTCTGTTAATAAAAGCTGTCAAAGGTCACAAAAAAATATATATAAGTTCTTCTTTAGAGACAGTCATGGATGGTTTTCTGTTTGTTTCCTTTTACCTCTACACAACAGTTGCCGTCCAGTATGATGTCTCCCTTCTTGTCCTTTAGGTCTTCACTTACATAGTAGGAAATAATATTGGGTTTTAGTACAAACCATCGTTCTGTCCAGTTTTTCCTTTTGTGACCTTTTTTCAGCATATAACCCTGCAAAAAAACAGCACATCTGAAAGGCCTGGCCCATGTTGAACATCTCAGTCTTTTGGTTACATGACATAAAAATTCTCTAGCAGAGTACACAGAAAAGTTAGCCCAAGTCCCTACAGACAGCCCTATACATTTCCACCCCCAAAATAATAAAAATCGCAACAATCTAATGAAAATAACCAGCATGCTGCTAATTGTTTGCCCCACAAGAAACAGCTCCCTGATCCTCTGTCCTGCTTTCAGTAACAGGATTAGGTGAAGAACTAAGTAATTACTGTGCCTACTACAAGTCCTTATATTTGGTCTCTCTGATTACTATTTAATTTCCTGCTGTCAAGCAGAGACATTTGCCATCACTGAGATTTATGGCCAATAATTTAATAAAAGTTGTTGTTTAAAAAAATCTATCCTGTTAAATGCACACCATGGTGACAGATGTAGATCAGTGTCTAGGCACTTTAAATGCAGCCTCTTTAGGGAATGTTCCCAGGTACAAAGCAAGAGAAGGTCTACCCTGGGAGTGGTTCCACACGGCCTCATGCTTATTTTGTTGCACTCTGTTAAAGAAGTGATCCACATACACTGAGCCTGCTGGAGAAAGTGGTGACAGAACCATTCTCCTGGCATCTGTCGGATAGGATGCAGCAACACTGACTGGTAAAGTCTGCATTTTGCCTTAAGAGAACAGAGCTGTATCTTGATCTAAATAATGCCAACATCTCTCTCACAGTATTTTATATCCTGAAGATAATTGACTCAGCTTTCTGATCAAGGAAAATGTTTGTAAGCTCGTCCTGAACACTGCTATTGAAAAGAGAATTTCAAAAGAAGGAAGAGAAGTCCACACATTGCTGCCGAGGCCCATAGAACAAGATAATAAAAATTGCAACAATCTGATGATAATAACCAGGTATCATGATCAAATCACTCAAGTGTGTCTCTACTGAGTATTAACATATCTGAAACCAACAGCAGTAATGTATGTGCAGGCATGCTAGTGATTCTGCTCTACTTTCTCCACTACGGTGATGGCAATCCAAAATCCATCTCATGGAAAAAAGTTGATCACTCTTCCAGGCATTTGATTTTGTGTGTACTTATGTAGGTGCACTGCTGTGACCTGGTCAGCTATTACTGTACAGTTTCAAAGTTAGATGGTAGTTCAGTTGCTATTTCTGGAACGATATTCCCTCCCTCCCCTCTTTATTTTTTTTCTAATAATATATTTTTAACTTGACTCTAACTTCAGAAGTCCAATCATACAAAACTGAAACACCCACATCAACAGAACTATGAGAAAGCAATAGAGAAAGCACCGTACCTCAAATATTTCAGGTTAAGAGAAAAGTTAAGAGAGAAACGTTCATGGTTTCCTTTCCATGTCTTTCAGTGGATATAAGCAAACAAACATGCTCTGACAAAACCAAAGCTGTCTCTCTCTACAGGTCTGGGGCAAAGAAATCAGGACATTTAGAGGAGCCTGTTTGTTTTTAGAAAACAAAACCACACACACAGAGCTTGGCTGTGCTCAGCTCCTCCAGCCCACTAGCTGCAGCCAGAGCCCAGCCGTGCCTATTCCCTCGCCATCCCACCCCTTGCCCAGGACAGGAATGCACAGGAATGCTCTGCCTCCCCCGCACGCAGCCGGAGGTCCGGGTGGTCACCCCAGGAGGGTGTGTGAAGGACTCTCTGCTCTTCCTGCTTTGCATGATCCTGTCCATAACCAGGTGTCTTTCCCTTCCTTATACAGTGACAGAATTCGCTTTCAAAGCCAGGCCAGACTGATATTTTCCCCATAAAACTGCTGCAAAATCTGCATCTATTATTTTCTGACAGCTCCTGGGGTTATTTTACACCACCTACCACAGAAGAACGCTTCTTTCAGAAAGCTATAATACAAAAAAATCTAGTTGTCACTGCAATCTCAGTCCTAGAGAGCCAGAATAAGTGCACAACAACAACATGGATGCTAAATGATGCATCACTCATAGCTCGACGCAATAAACCAGATCACTCTGCCAGCTAGGAGCTACCAGGGAGCATGCTGTGGCTGAAGCAGACAGGGTCAGCCACAGAGGAGCTCCATTCTCCCTTAAACCAGTAATTGTCGGTGGTGCTGGGCCACACCTTACTGCAAACTATTTTTAAGCATTGAGAAACGACTCACAGGCACTCAGACATCCTTAAGAATGAGGCCGAGCCTCTCAGAGAGGAAAGAAAGGAGACAGTCAAGGGGGAGAAAAAAAAAGAGAAAGAGACAATGCCATATAGAAACCAAAATCAGATTTCCTCACAAGTTGGAAGTGGAAGGTCTGACACGACACTGACTATTTTATCTTCACATTATTAAACTGCAGAATGGCTTTACACTCATCTGACTCAGTATGCGTGTCCCCCCATCCCTCATCTCCAATAAGCAACCAGGAGTTAACAAAAATAGACCTCAGCATTGTTATATGGATATTCTGAAAGCAGTTCCTGTGCCAAAGCACTCTGATGATTTCTTCAAAATGGTTTTGCACAGCCTGCCAAGAAAGTCTGTTTCCATCCTCACCAAGAAATCGAAGCAGAAAAAAAAAAAAATCAGGTAAAAGTCAGTGTTACATAGCTAAGCTCAGCTGTAAGCCGTCAGGTCCCCACAATACTTTCCAGTTTTTAAAGCTGTTCCTGAACGGATCATCTGGAAACATGCAGAACCTAAGGGCTGACAGAAGCCTGCTGTGGGAACAGGGTTCAGCATGACTGTGTCTGAATAAAAGTAAGCTGTGAGCTGTATTGCCTGCTGAGTACAAGAAAGGAGAAAGCTCTGCAGATCCTCTACATCTTCTTGCCCTACTGAAGTGGGGCGACTTAGAAGAAATGCTTCAGCCAGCACTCCTTTGCCCAGACCGCGCTGAATACACAAGTTGTATCAGCACAACTTCCATTTGTTACAGTGTTTATTTGCATCTGGAAAAAACACTTCCAAAGACTGAAGAGTTGTCACAAATTACGAACTGACAGCGGTAGCTACTCTGACAGCTAGAAGGAACTGATAATACTATAAAAAGCTGTACTTCAGTCAGAACGCACTTCCTTTTAAAATGGAAATTCTCCCAACAAGCAGCTCATTCACCATACTGCAATAATTATATTAGTTTTTCTCTGATAAAAATAAGGTCATACCCTGATAAGTAATTCATCTAATTCTCCCCCTGCTCTTCATCCATCAGCCAAAAAAATTCCATCACAAGTTGAACCATTTTCTACTTACGCAGTAACCGGTTCTATTTTAAAACATCAGTTCTCTGCAGTCCTTACCTGTTTGAGTACATCTAATATGAGCTCGTTAAAGACTTCATTAACTGCCATGGACACGGTCTGTCGGTCCATGCCCTTACTGAACTGCCCGCTCCCGATGAGATCGATCAGCTCCCACGCAGACAGACCCTCCCTGCTGGTGTTGAGGGCAATCTTGTAGAGGTCAAACTGCTCTTGCTGCCAACCCGCTCCCATCGCTTCCGTCAGTTTTTTAAGCAAGTATTCAATCTGTAAGGAAATATAAGCAGAAATTAATCACTTCCAGCAGAAGTAGAAATCAAGAGTCTCCAGAGAAGCACAGTTTAAACTGCTGAAACTCCTTACAGCTGTGTTCCCATTTAGGCACCAACATGGCGCGCTGCTCAGTTAGCAAAGACTACAGGACCCAGCAGCTTTCTGCCTCGGCTGAGCTCCTGGTGGCCAGCCCCACCTGCAGCTCCACTCTTCATCACAAGGAAGCAAATAATTAACCTGCAAGTCTCTTCTACATTCAGGTTCCTACAGGACACAGACCTTCCCTGCAGTACCTTTCAAGCCAGCATGACTGAGCAGGAGGTTTCAGAAAACGTTTTGTGGACGAAGAAAAGCAAACAAATTACAAACAATAAAAAGAGTAAGGTCACAGCTTGGACAAGCAAAATGAAGAACCACAGTTGCATGGCCACATCTCAGTCTTCACCTGCCCTCCACCACAGCACACCAGCTTGGCATCAAAAAAAGCAGAAGAATCTATTTTTCACATCCGCTTTTATTGCTTCCAGAATGAACTCTCCTTTTCCTTTAAACTTTCATCATCCTGTACGCATTACCACAGTGTAATGCTTCTAATAGCTGCTCAAAATAAACACAGGAATATAAAGAGGGAAAGAAGGTAGTTTGTTTTGCAGTACATTACCGTTCGTTTACTCTTTAAACACCGCATGTTTTGAAACTTAGCCTGCCTACAGCTTTAGCACAGGCAAAACGTTAACGGCTCATAAAGAAAACAATTAGTGAGAGTCTTTATGCAAGGACCCCTGCGCAACAAAGTAAAAACCGCACTTCTGCATTTCCTTCAGCGTTGCAGACAACACGAAGCAGAGCTCAGCCCGGCTGTGCGTGCAGACCGAGCGCCCGGCACCTCCTGCAGCAACGGGCGCGGTGCGCTGCTCCTTCAGTGCCCGCGGCCGGGAGATGCGCGCTGCTGGCAGCGTGACAGGGGTGTACGGTGTGACCTCCTCACCGAGAGCGGCAGAGAATCGTAGAAGGCCTGGGTTGAAAATGACCACAATGACCACCGAGTTTCAACTCCCTGCTGTGTGCAGGGTCGCCAAGCACCAGAGCAGGCTGTCCAAAGCCACATCCAGCCTGGCCTTGAATGCCTCCAGGGATGGGCAACCTGGGAGGCATAGACCAAATGCTTTTCAGGACTTGGTGTTTTATTTTTGTTGTTTTTTTCCACTGATGGTGGTCTGCACCACTGGGGAGCAGAACACAATACCTTCTAGGGCTGAGGAATCCTAGCCCACTTGAACTGCTTAACTACAGTTTGGTCAGCTCTCAGCCTGCCTAGCGCCCGGCACAAGAGGTTTGGTAGCACCAAGAAACACGGACACATCTCTCCTCCTTCCCCCCAGCACACTTCCCTGCGAGAACCCAGCTCAGATGTGCTTTGGATGCCCTACACATGTGGATGTGCAGCTTCTGTCCCATAGCCAGAGAAGGCAGATCCCTTCCTTCCCTGCACGTCTGCCATCAGGAAACACCCAAGTGTGCACCAGGAGGCTTTGCCTTGGCAAAGCTGAGAAGTGCCTAACCTGGAATTCAGTCCACATACAACTGTTCTCTTAGATTTCTGCAGCATCCAATTCCTTTAAAGACCTTTTCCCCAGGCTGAAGTACAGCCTGCCCCAATAGGAGCTCTGCATGATGACCCAGGCTTCAGGTAAAGCAAAGGCTGCAGAAAGGAAGGCTCAACGAGGAAGGTGTGAGACCTGCCAAGGCGCTGGGCAATCTGGCAAAGAAGTAAGGCAGAACACACATAATATAGCTATAACGTGTTATCATTTTACACACTAAAAAGAAAATAAAATATCCTTTACTTTAATGTTATTTGGGCATATTTTTTACTTTGATTGTTGGAACAAATGCAAACATTTAAGGCTACCCACCTCCCCTCTACGAGTCACTATCACCACCACAAATATCCCAAATCCCACCAAAGTACACAGAGTACATTTTAAAACACATTAACTCTTTGTATATTACATATTGCATATTTGCATATTGCAATTTAAATGGTCTCAGAATGTATCCTTCATTCAGAAAAGCATGGCTAACCCAAGTCCCATACAACTTTCGTCAGACGTTGTGCCCCACCCCAGCACTGACTAGGGAGCAGTGTGAGGGAAATACTGAGAAGTAAGCTGGATCTGGCAAATATGGAAACGAACAAGAGGCCATTCATTATGGGCTCAAATGAGGAACCTCTGCGAGCCAACGACATTTCCCCTCCTCCCCGAGGAGACGTGTGAGCTCAGCAAATAACTGACAAATTAAGGCTGCTGGCTCACACACAATCTGCTCTTGTGGTTAAAGAGCAGCATTGAAAAGCAAATGTGAAGCAATGTTTGCTGCTGTTCTGACAGGGCCTTGCTCACTCTTTGATACTGCTGGGGTTTTGCTTTAGGACTAACGCTGTGCCCACTGCTGTATTCCATACTCTGTAGCACAGACAATCAGTTCCATTCCAAATCAACACTTTCCAGCCAGAAAACAAAAAGAATATAGAGCTCAGGGGCTCCTTAACACGAACTGTGCAGTCTGCCCAGCATCTGCTCTCAGAGGGCAGCTGTTCTTCTCTCACTGCAATACCTATTTGCTTTCCACTTCCAGGTATCCCTGGCACGGTTCTCCACAGGGAAATAAGTTTCACAAGTGTTTCACATATTCTTCTGATACATAAGTGGGCCTCTTAGAGGAGGAAAAAGGAAAAATGATGTCAAAGAGGCTTTCGTGCCCAACTGAGCATGGCAGACAAGGCTATTCTGGTGTGTGCTATTCAAATAGGGTTTGTGATATTAATAGTGCAGACAAAAAAACTTAAGCTGTACACAGTTCTGTAGAAGTGTACAGAACGTGGCAACAATCATGGTCCATTCCACAGCCTTCATCAGTTCCTTTCCCCACCCCATCAGAACAGCACACACTCTCAAATCAAACCTTCAATTTCTCCTTTCCACTACCACCCCCGTAGTGGAACTCATTAAACTTACATATTTTATTTCATTAAATTTCATTAAATTTATTTCATTAAATCCCCGTATTTGAATTCATTAAACTTCACCGATAGTAACTCCTCTGGATCAATGGTTGGTGAAAACAGTGCTTCATGCACAGAGCTTTCATTCTAGTTATATCAGTTTTGATTTTACTTCTGAATTGCTAAGGGTCAATTCCCAATATATCATTCACAGTATCACATGCCAGCATACAGAACACAGAAACAAAAGAGGTCACAAATTATTTCTGCAGGAAACATCTCCAGAAGAATCACTACTGGCAATTTGAAACTTTCACCTCCCATCACCTCATTTTCAAATGCACAGCAAAACCACACAAGATTCAGACCCTCTTTGTCCCAGGTGGGAGGATTAGAGATGACACACATTAATGCAGCAAAGACCAGAGCACAAAGAGAAGGAGACTATACAAATTGTGGTTCCTTAAGAAGCCAGACCTAAAAAGCACAGACAGGAAGTACACAAGTATTGCTTAAAAGACATTATGTGAGCACTGCATTACAATAAGAGCACGCCGCCTGCAGTGGACCTTTCTGCCAGTTTCACCATTGAGGCAGCCCAGGAACACAGCTAACCACACACCACAGCTCTCAGGCGATAAAGCATTCCTGAGGCTGCAGTCACATGTCCAGAAATGAGAAAGGGGAAGTGTTAGGAAACCTTCATATACAACAGAAAATGTCTGGTTAAACAGCATACGACCGAGTCTGACAACTAAAACAGGAGGCATAAGGAAATCTCATGACAGACTAGAAATATTTTTCCTTTTATGGCTGCAGCACTCCTCACCTCTCTTCCTTTTGTTTTCAGCTCCTCGTGGAGGAGGTCAGCCCTGTGAGAGCTGAAGGAAGCACACATTTCAATGCCTGTGTCCCAGACGGCTGAGTGGGAGCACCTGGTGGGGAACAGGAGCAGCTCCCCCTATGGTCTGCTCTCTGAGACCAGGAGTCACACAGCTGCTCACTAAAGCTCTGCCCACTGCTGCCATTAGACAAAAATTGTGCCAATTCTGGAGACCATCCACCAGGAACAACTCTTACTTGAGCAAACAAAACACAGCATTGTTTTCCTCCAGTCTGCCTTCACTCAGCTTACAGAAATGCTGCACCTCACACAGCTTCTCCCTTGAAAGAGGAGGGAGATTTGATGCTGTTTCACATTTCCTAGGGACACAAACACCTTAGCACAACAGACATTTATGGACCCCTCTTCCTTCCCAGCTCTCCTCTCTACAGCCCAAGGCCACCACCAGCTGAGCTTCCCATATCCAATGGGGAGGCACAACTCTTGTGCCCACGACCTGGCTGCTCACCATGAGCACAAAGCTGCATCCCACCCCAGGCCCTTCCCCACACAGGATTTCACTAACCTAACTCACTCCAATGCCAGGCTGCCACCTCTCCTTACATGGCAAGGGAAGAGCCAGGCCAAGCATTGCTTCTGGCTTCCAGTCTGAGCTCTGCTAACAGAGCAACAGGACAGCTTCTGGCCCTTGTGTTGTCCCCCTCTACAGCTTCTAAATTTCCTCTTTGTAACTGTTTTCCTTGCTTTCTGTTTCCAAAGATTTCCTCAGCCTACGCCTCTGAAAGCTTTCCAGACTGTTCTTCCTTTTCTGTTTGAGCAGCAGCTACAGCACTTCCAATTTGCTACCCACCCAGCACTTGGGCAAGGAATCAAGCCTGAATGCTTTGCAGCTGGGGCAGCAGTTCCTCCCTGGCGTGCTTTCTAATAGGAAAGGCCCAGCACAGCAGCACCTGTGCACAGGTACACAGCACCGGCAGGAAGGAAAAACAGCAGCCTCAACCTTCAGTCATGGCAGTGCAAGGAAGTGAAATTGCACAAAAGCCAGCGAGTTTTCCAGATGAGAGATGGTTCAAACAAGTGCAGAAACAGTTTAGGTCATTAAAATCAAAAATCAGAATCCCAGATAGGCCCCAAGGATCAGGTCCTGGGAGAAGAAGGAGGAAGAGAACTTTGCAGTCATGTGAAGTTGTACCAATACCTTCAGTCGAGACCTAAGAAGTCTCTCTTTATTACAACCTTGCCATCCACAAGGTGGAGAGCAAAAATGTTCATGTGATCACTTTTCCAACATGAAAGTACCACACAAGTTTCTTAATTCCTTATAAAGGGAAAAAAAGTTCAAAAGCCAAAAAGCCGAAGAGGTGGGTGGGAGGAGGGGAAGCAGCTGGATCCTGCACTAATCACTCTAAGCCAGAAACAGCAGTAAGTGGCATGTTGCAATATTCACAGCCAAGGATAAGAGAAACAAACAGGGAGGAAGAAGCGCCTGCTCCCTGGCTGCGAGGTTATAATGATTCATGAGAGGTTTACATTTGTCTTATCCAAACATAAACACTGCAGAACATTGCCCTCCCATCTGCTCTACACTTTGCAAAAAATCCCTGCTCACAGTTCATTCATAGATGATGTGCAAGTCAATTTCAATTCACAGATGGGCAACACTATCAAGCAGTAAAAACTGAATACATAAGCCAGTTTTAATATGAACTTGGGAGGCATAAAAAAGAAAAATACCTTGGGTAGGTACCAATATCACTTTGAACACTATTGAAAAGAGCTGTTTTCAGAAGGAACTTCTCAGTATCAAGACAAAAAATTGCAAGTTCATACAAAAAATGCCTTGGAAATCTGGGAGTTTAGATTTAATGTTAAAAACAGTACTAAAACAACAATGAAAAACCCATAAGAACTTAAAAGGCAGATATGAAAGGTCATACAAAGAGCAAAGCTGATCTAAATTAAAAGTTTCCATCTTTACTTTTGGAATTTTGAGTAAAAGGGAGTAAAGGTGGAATTTTCCAGAAGCACAGACAGCACCGGGAGGACCAACACAAACCAGAAAGAAGGGCATTCACAACAGCATTCCTCCACCAACTGATTAAATTACCTGTACGGTCTAAGGCAAAAGGTTAAAGAGTGTATGGGTGTATTGCATACGATAAGAACAGAGCAGCCTTTCTTTGCCAGGCTCTACAAGCTTTCCTTAAAGAGTGCAGCAAGATTTACATCATGCAGTAATGAAGGAGATGCAGACACACATCCACACCAACGAGTTTTAAAAATAATCCAAGTGAAAGAGCAATACAGGTGGACCCTGGAGACAAAGGATGGGAGGAAAACCTGATGCCATTAAGATAGGAGTTGTCTTGGCTTTTAGAAATGTGATCTCCATCCCCCAGAATCAACAGAAAAGACACGACAAAAAAAACCAAGGGAAGGCAAGAAGGCTGTCCCACGTCTCTGGGGAATCAGCATGTCTGGTAGCAGCCTGTCATCATCAGTCCGGCACAAACAGAAACGTTGTACAGAGTGAAAGTGCCCTGCAAAAATCTAAGTGACAAGGCAAAACCAAGTGGTTCATTTCAATATGGAAAGGGCATGATCTGTAAGTACTAGTTTGGCTCAGCAGCTTGGAGTTGTGGCATGTAAATCAGACTCTTTTCATCTTTGACTTTTCAACAATTTGAAAAAAATATATATGCCAGTGCTGAGCTGCAACCCCCTAGGATTTCTGCAGCAGGTTTTGCAAAAGATGGTTAATGCATAGAGTTCCACCTGGAGACTTCTTCCCTCACCCCTCCCCAGGGGGAAAAGCTTTAAATTGTGAAGATTCCAAAACCTTGCTTTAGGGTTACCTATACGAGCACTGCCCGTACTTGCCCATCCACTTGAAATACAAAGAGACTTCTCTGTTATTTTGCTCACTGCTGTTTATTCCTACAAGCATTTCAAGCAAGAGCATTCAGGTGGTGGCTGGTTTTGATCAGAAACAGACATCATCTGAAAAGTTTGCACTTCTCCATTTCAACAGGAGGGTGACATGAGACTGAAGACTCATCTTGCAAGCAGAGAGAATTTTTTTTAGAATCACACTGTGCAAAATTTGAATCATGCATAAGCGAGTTCAGGTATTAAAGATCCCAACATGCACTACTCATGAGTGAGATGAGAACCTCAACACCCCAGGTGCATGTAGTGGAGCTTGTCTCCCCAGCACCAGTCAGGCCTCACAGTCTGCAAAATAAGGCATTTACAGGCAGCAGGCAGCACTCCCACTTAGCCCAAGCTGTTTAAGTGGAAGACAAGAACAGCAATCAATATCTAAAATATCCTGGATCCCCACACATGCAACGTGCAAGACAAAGAAAAGCACTCAAAGCCTTATAAAAGAGGAAAGTAGTCTCTATTTAAAAAATCATTTTCTCTGAAAACTCCAGAGTAGTATCCATTAACATACCCAACTGAGACACTAAGCAAAGCAATTGCTGAACAGCACAAGTTTTTGTTTCTTACCTCCTCGGGTACAATGATTAAAGGGTACTTGTCCTCTGATAAGAAGTTAAAAATAACCCACACTTTAAATGCATCTTCATCACTGATCAGCAAAGGACTTTTCGAGAGGTTCTTTTTAGCACACAGAGTCCAACACATTCTGTTGAATTCAACTTTATCAAAGTTCCCTTGAACCTAAAATGAAGAAATGGAACAACAGCAACAATCAATACATAGGAATGGCACAGGATAACAGATGAAATTTAACAGACCAAGTTGTACCAAAGCACCAAGAGATTCTAGTTTGTAAGAAGCATCAAGGCCTAAAAGGAGCACAAACCCAGCCTTCTCTGACTTCCTGCATGGGGTAAACTAAAGAACTTCTTCCAGCAAAATCTGCACCCATCCTCCAATTTCTGGTTGAGTTAATAACACCCTGACTTCACGGGAAGGAGGCCATTGTGATTTTGTCTTTCCTCTAGCACATGAGCTTTAGATCCCAAACCTTCTGCATAAATGTTTTTAGTTCCAAATGCCCTTCTGTTGCACTGCTACTAAAACTCCATACAGTAAATGTGGAAATCATAAGAACAAAAACTACACTGAAACAGCTGGGAAAGACTTTTAATAAGCCTTTCTGCTTAATGCTGCTTAAGTGTAACTCTTGAAGAAAATAGTCACAAATGTAATCTTGCTTTCTTTAACATTATTCCACCCTAAATCTTTCCTTTTTTTCAGACTCTCAAATCCTCTCTTTACTGATAAAAAAAAAATTCCTCTTGCTTGCATTATCCTTTATCATACCTCGCATCTGTACATACCCATCTGTGAATTATTTATATATGTGAAAGCTTTCATTTCCTCTATTTTGTTTTTAAACCTCGTTGATGCTATAGATGAAGTATATTTATGTCCCTGCAGCTTTGCCATGCTGTTCCTTTGCCAACACAAACCAATAAGGTCACATTCTGCACTGTGCCTCTTGATATTTTGGAAATCATGGGTAAGAAAAAGGTTCTTGCCTGGGAGCACCACAGGTAACATTCTGTGCCATTTTCTTACAATGGGCCAAAACCACACAGCACTTGCACCCCAGAAATGCCCTGCTAGTTACCCTGCTCCTTCCTTCAGACCCACACTCGATTGTGGAAGGGATTTCATCAAGTGTCCGAGTGGCATCCAGAGCACAGACACTGCATAGAAATTACTCTGGAGAGATGATCAGATAAGCATACAGACTCCAGCTCTCCAAAATAACTCTAATTCACCTTTATGGGTTGTTTTGTTTTGCTGGTTTTTTTCCTCTAAATCATCACAGACTGGCTTTTAAAGAAAGGATATAATTACAAAATCAGTGTTCTGGGGATGCTGGGAGTTGGGGGTAGTACTAAATAAACTAAATACTTCTCTTTAATGAGAGATACTATTTTTCCTGAACAATTTCACGTGGCAACGCTAGCTATTTCTGGTATGTACATTCTTGAAGTACATTTGTGCATGGCTGTGGGGGAGAAAGGAAAAAAAAAAGCTACAACCAAAACCAAATCAGCTCTAGACTTAAGTCCCTACTACAGTACTCTGGACTGTGCTACTTTGGCTTCCTTCACTGGCAGCGCTCCAGTCCAGGTTACTACGTAACAATTACTCTGAAGTAATAATTACTCTGAATGAATGCATCTCTGAATGGGATGTAATAGAGATCATTTCTAAGCACTGCTTCAAAAACTGAAAATATTTGAAGTTTCTAAAATTATATTTCAATTCACTCACAAAAATACCTCTAGCTTAATTAACAGAATGCAAACAGAAACATTCCAAACAGGACAAACTGATGGCTAAATAAAACAAGTCATAAACACACACACATTGCTTTTTAAGGACACAAACAAAACAAATGTCTTGAGATCAAGAAGTTTTCTTGTCTGATCTCGCTCAGAACAATTAATTTGCCAGAAAATACGACCAGAAATTGAGACAGCTTTCTCTTTATCTGGAGGTATAAAGTACTGGTCCCTCTTTAGCAGCTTTGCTTAGTATGAATTCATGACATCTGTGCTGTGATCACCTCATCAAGAACAGACTATGCCTTAGAAGAATGAAAAAAAGGAGTTCCTTGTTTGCTTTTTTTGGTTTGATTTATACAAAAGAGATGTGCCATGAATCAGTGACTTCATCCCACTGCATGCTGTCTTTTGGCACTGATGTGGTCATCTCTGAAAGATGAGATGTCACAATCAGCGCACAAAAGTGGCCTTCAGTCCAAAGACTTTCACTGATTTTCAATACTTGATGTCTAAACTCTGAAGAGATGTTTAGTCAGGATAACTAACGTGAACTGTAATGTGAATTTAGAGGCTATTTAATCCTGTTCCTAAACATTTTCTGTTAGCTATTAAGAGAAACCAATGGCATGGGTGCATCCCACAATTATCAGAAGCCAGAGCAGCATATAAAAGAAAGCAACACAGGAAACTACACACAGCTGTGCTCTTTCTTTCCACAAGAAAGCAAGGTAGCTTGTCCTTTGCTTTTGCCAGGGGGTAAGAAGGTGCCCCAGAGTAGCTACATGCTGTAACTTCACACCAACAGGTTTAGGTAGCCAGGTCTTTCATTTACAAATTGAAGTGTTATTTAATAATTGCAATTGCTGCTCTATTCCATAACTCTTCTCCCTATACACTTTTTAATAATAAAGCACGGATACATTTGAAAAAGCCTTCTGCCTCTCTTCTTTCTTTGACTCAATAGCTTGTTACAACAAATGCTACTAACAACAAACCTGTAGTTCAGACTCTACAGCTATAAAACTTCACTCAGAATAAAATAAGGGCTCTTATTTCAACCTGTGTACAAGCTGCTTGGTCTCTGTTGAACCTTACAGGAGCTCAGACAGCCAACACTAAGTGGAAATGAGATTATAACCTTCCTAGGGACTAAGGGAGATTCTCCCACGGCAAGTAACCAAGACAGCAGGTGGGTATCTGTGGCCAGCAACTCCCACACATGGAGCAGGGCTCTGTCACTGGGTGGGAGACAAACAGACTAGAGAGGCAGAGGAGCTTAGCCAGATACACAAAGCTTTTCTTGTTTCCAAGTTGACGGACTGCATCTCAGTCATGTATCATATTTTCCACCAGTATTAAATGTAGATTAAAGCAGCAGCAAAAGTCATCAAAACGTGGCTAAGGAGCTTGCGTAATCTGCAACTGTCACATGGGTGACTTTCCAGCAGGAGGTCACTTTGGGATGTGATGTTTTAAAAGAAAGCAACCATCCGTGTATCTCTGCAGCCACAAATCAAAGTTTGAAGGTTTCTGGGTCAGCCTCCAAGAGAACTCAGTGGTATTGAAGCAAGTATGTGTGTACTGCCTCAACCAGTCTCCCAACCAAAGCTGCTAGAAAAGAAGTATGATAGTTCTTTGCTTTCAGAAATTTCAACCTAAACCTGACACACATAGCCCCCAGAGGCCAGCTCTGGCCCAGTGCCTGCCTCTAGTAAGAATAAGATTCAGGGCAGCAAGGGGGAAACCCTGCTGCTTCCCTGAGCTTCCCCCAAAACAACAAATGTGCAACCCAGAACTCTTAAGAAGACTCCAACACCAAGGGAAAAAAACTCACAAGGCAAAACTTAGCAGCACTCCCTGACATTCCCCACCATAAATACTGGGTGGGATGTATTTATTAAAATTTTTCATGAATAGACAATACTTCTCCTGTCTTGCTTGCAGATGAGTCTATGGCAACGTTCTTTTGTAACCATAGTATGGAGTGGCACAACCTATAGCTTCAAGACACTTCCAGATAATTTTACACTGCTCTGTTTTATTAATACGAATACATTTCTACAGAAGCAGAGCATACAGAACAACCAGATGTAACAGGAAACGTAAACCAAGGAGAGAAAAATGAAGTCAAGCAGAGCATACCCTTCCATTTTAAGGCACAGACACTCCAGAGCACAGCCCCAGAACAACCCTGCAGAGAGACTCACAGCCCAGTGCCTTCAGACCAGCAGGTTTCCTGCAAGCAAAGGCCTGCTGTAAGGCTGGCACACTAAGGAAAGGCACTAAAAAAAAATGATAAAGGGAAATACAGAACCCAAGAATCCAAAACTTACCTTTTCCAAGATGAATTTGTTTAAATAAGGCATGTAACCCTGATTGGAAACTGGTCCTTCATCATCATCCCTAAAGTGTTCTTCCAAGGCCACCGGGTCATGGGGAACATTTAACACTGTGCACAGGTTGTGAGAAAGGACCTGGGGACAGAACAAACATCAGTGACACCACTGTTGGGCTGCATTGCCTCCAGAGCAGAGCTGTGATTCAGGAGACTGTGAGCAGAAAATGGCACCTTCATGTCAGTGTCAGTTCTGCCCTGAAGATTTTTCTCAAAAAATGGAAAACACCAACATTTAACTAAAAGAAATTGACTGCAAGGATTTGACCGCTTCACACAGTTACAGTGGTGATTACAAACAGATCTATTGCTATAGAAGCTGCCCTTTATATGCATACTCTTATGCATTTGAAAGCCAGGAGAGGCATGGAGAAACACCAAAGTAGCATGTGCAGTGTGAAATTAGACAGCTAGGGAAAATGACCACCAACAGCCAGCCTTGGAAATTATAAATAATTATTACCCAGTGAAAACAAGGATTGAGGAAAAGAATCCAACATGCCACCTTTAGCTCACAAAGAAATGACCATTCCATTTAAAGTATTAACTATAGGTTTCTGTCATCTGCTTGCTTTTAATTTACTTTTCAACATTCACCCCAAGTTTTAGACGGTAAAAGAAAAGAAAGGATATGGAAAAGGGAAGAGATTAGATGTGCTTCTACAATATTTATTTTAAAAAGGTATTTGCATGTACTATGTCAAAAGCTTAACGCCCACCAGCTCTCACATCTGAGAAATGGCCTTCAAGAAGAGGCGACACGCTCGATTAGTTTTAAGGAAGTACAGAATTACTAAAAACTGACTGGTAGCCTATGCATCTTAAATGCTCCAACACAGGCTGAGCTTTGCATGCCTGAATGGTGCCGGCAACAGAAAAGCAGGGCCAGAGTACCAGCTGCTCCTGTGCCACCAGCACTTCTCTCACAGAGAGCATTTTTCTCACCCCCTTTGCTTCCACTTCACCTCCTGAGCCAGGTCACTCCCTGCAGGCTGCTGCCCACAGCCCTCACCCCAGGGAAGATGCAGGGTTAAGCTTCTGGGATTGCGTACCAGCAGCAGGAGCTGGGTTAAGGACACAGCCAAGAATGGTCTGTGCTGGAAAACGTAAAGGAGAACCAAAGGCAGAAACACAGGTAAAACAAAATTAGGCAGAGGCCGTGAAATAAGACGTGGAAGCTTGAAGGCTTCAAAGTCTAGGAAATCAAACACCTGCCACACACCTGCAGTGTCTTTTATTTTGTCCCCGGATAGATTAATATACATATATTTTTCATATATAGACTGCATATGTCTCCTTAGTGTAAGCACTAATTGCACAAAGTCCGACAAAGTCAGCCCAAAATAAAAGTTCAGTTCAGCAGAGAATCCCTCTCCACACGCTTGAAACTTTCCACTTCTTTCAGGAAAGCATAAGAAACACGTTTTCATACTAGCACGAAGCCACTAGCTATAACAGCTGCAAAGTTACTGAACAGGAAAACAATAGCATCAGCCCTACCACAACAAAAGCTGTATTTCCCAAAGTAGCAAAATAGTATTTACAAGTTACCACATTTCAGGCTACTCTCCATCAGCAGTCTATTCTCTCCAACCTACCCTTATTTTAACAAACAAACTGTAACGAGTGAGTCCTTGTGATTCACATGTGGGGGGAAAAAGCATGCCATCATGCATGTTTCCCCTTCTATTTAAGGCTTCAGAGGGATTCCTGACTATCTGTGGAGGGAAGATCTCATTTTTGCACCTAGGCTTTTTTTAGGGGCTATAAAGCAGCTAAGAAAAATGTTCTACAAATGTAACTGATTTGAGCATGTTACTAACATAACTTAAATGTTCAATAGAGCACTTTCTCATCATACCCCCTCCACATTACTTCTCCCCTTGGCCTTCTTGCTGTGCTCAGGCTGTCAGAAAGTTAGCTGCTTTCCACATCCAACAACCAATTACCAGGAAAGAATTCCACTTTCAATCATTTCTAAGGGCTGCCTTATCTGCCATCTCCTCTGTGCCCAGTGCTCTTTTCATAGCTCAGGAAATTCCTCCATGCCTGCCAAAGCCTGCCATTCTTCAACGTGGCCCAGTGCCAGCTGAATTCTTCCCTCACAGGGCAAGCCTGAAAAATTCTGCTCTGAAGTCTCGTTCTGTCTTGTTTCGTTCTTTCAGATCGCATTATCTGGACCATCACAGACTCAGCTTTAATGATCCGTTCTCTTTTGTAGAAGCTAAGAAAAAAATCAAATGGAAAAGCTCCAAACAACTAATAGCCAAGGAGTGGATTAATTAGGATAGGAAAATCGCCCTGCCATGCAGAAACTCTATCAACCATGAGGTGGTTTTGCACCAGCAAGGGTTATTCCCCAGTGCTGTGTGGTTGCTGGGCAGCTTTCTCCTTTCCCAGCACCTGTTGTGCTCTGGATGCCCATCTAACAACTTACAGCTGCAGCAGGTGGATCCAGTGGGGGTCCCCAGGCCACAGCCCACTGTGGGTCATGTGTTCTGCACAGGGTCCACAAAGACACCGCTTTCCTTTTTTTCTGTTTCAATTGGGAGTTTTATAAGAGAGGTGCCCAGGGGTACCAAGGAAATACTGAAGGTGTTCTGCTGTACAGATAACCCAGCACCAAAGGTCTCCATAGCTACTGCTACAGACTTCAAACGTTGTTTTACCTGGAGGGCTGAACCCCAGCCCAGCTCTATTGCACTGCAGCCCTTCCGAAACCTCACACAAGTGGAACTGTCACCACCTGAGTGACACCATTTTAACCTTGTCCATAGAAGCAATCTGCATTTCTAAGAGGGACTAGAGCTCTGCCACCTCTTGCCCAGTAACACAAATTTGGCCCAAATGACAGTAGGACCATTAAGAGGACAGATTACTTCTACAGTGGCTATTACCAGGTTCCTCCGTATTTTTCCTTTCCTTTCTTTTCCATCTTTTGGGGGGTCTCCTCCCTCCCCCATCTCTCTTTAATGCCTGAAAACGCTGGCAGCACAGACCCCGACAGCTCCATTCACTGGCCTCGTGTGAATTCCTTCCAGGACATTCTTGGCTCATCTCTCCCCGACATCCATGTCAGCAGCCAACCCGCCAAAGCAGGCCCACACAGCGCTTTCCCTTTTCCTCTCCTAATCAGCATGAAACCAGCACTGAGCAGGCCCTTAGCACAGCCATGAGGTGTTCTGGCCAGGCCATGTCACAGCATCTCAGCAGCACAGCCTCCTCGCCCACCAGACCTGGGCTCACCGATGCCAGCTTGGCCACACTGTTGCATTTACACCAAGCCCGGTTCCCAGCACTGCACAGTTCACCTGCGTGGTCCTGGGGCCGGGCTGCCATGGGCACCGAGCCCCGTGTGCAGCCCTGCAGCACGACTGCGGCCCTGAGTCACCGTGACTAATTTCCTACTGCCCCTCAGTGCTGGACAAAGCCAATTGTCCCACGGGGTCAGGCCTGCTCCTCGCAGACTCTCAGCCTTTCCAGCACCTCGCTGCATTGTTTGAAGCCTTCCTCTCTGTCTGACCGGCCCTCTCACCCCGATTACACCATCCTTCCTCTTCCACTGGCCTCTGACTTCCCATTTAGCAGAAGGGCAAAGTGAAGGTAAGAGGTACAAGAACCGCATAACATCCCAGGTATGACTAAAGGCCAGTTTAAGTTTTCCAAGCTTCACCAGCAGCTTTGGTTGCCCGCACCTTGCCGCTGTGCCTGAGGCCACATCCTGCACCAGCAATGCAGGACAAAGTCCTTCCCAATGGCAGCACGTGGAGCAAAACAGCCAAATAACCCCACTGCCAAAACAGAGAACTCTTACAGCAACATAAGAAAGAGCTTCCAAAGACAGAGTAAAAACAAACTGGTACAAAATATTAGTTCCAATATTACATATGTACCACAAGAAGCGTTGCTGGCTGCTAACTGTAACTCCGTTTAAAACCACGCTCAAGTTCCAGGTGGAAAGCAGACTGAATGTTGACACATTTGAGAAACTTTTAAAATAAGTCAATTTTAAAATAGCAGAATGAAAGAAAGGAGAGACTGGATTTTAATGTAGGAAAGCAAGCATTTGCATGCAGCTCATACTCGAACCTCAACAGCAGCTATTTCATCCACCACAATGATACTTCAGCCTTGCTATAGCAGTGTTTGAAAGCTCTGTAACAAAATGATTATTGTGTCCATATTTAAACATGTAATTTAATAACAAAAAAAAAAAAAAAAACATCTCTACTGGAGTAGAAAAATGGTAACATCTGTAGCTATAACAATAGAACTTTTGGAGATTACTTGGGACCTTCTGTACATCCATGCCAGTACCTTACACTGGATCACACAACAAGCTGAGATGCATGGTCAACAAGCTTTCCTACTGCGAAGGGAAGCTCTGTATGTTACAACACAGCACACTGCTCTCTGAAAACAAATGGATTTTTACTAAATTTTTTCATAATGAAAGATTTGTTATTAAACATTATTTATATTGCTGCTGATCTCTGCTAACCTGCTTACTCCAAGTCTCCTCTCTGTTTCATAGGGGTGGTACTCCTTATTTGTTGTAAACACAGACAAGAAACATGTAACTGCAAAATAATTCCCTGGTACAACACAGCCCCAAGTCAACAAGGCAGAGCCCCTGCCCTACTGCCCCAATGGCTACAGCCATGCAAACACACTTTCTCCATAGTAGGACAGTTGGTTCAGCATCCACACTCATCCTCTGCCACAAAAAGGTTGCAGAAAAACACTCTGCCTCTTGTCAGGTTTCCTGAAAACAAATTCCTGCTGGCCATGGAGAAGCAGCAGCCTCATTTTAGCTCCCCAAATGCCACTCCCCCACAAGCCTTTGCACCAGAGGCAACTGTACAGAACCAGCAAGGCCCGTTGCTTTTCCATGCCTTTTCACTACCATGAAACAATGAAACAGCCTAGGAAGATGTTTGACAGGTAATGAGGAGGCAAGTTTAGTTTCCTCTCCCGTTTCTGTTTTACCTTTTTTTATACATGAGCATTTGCAGGCATGGGATGTTAATAAGACCAATAACTGTGCTTTGGTTTGGAAGCACAACTGTTCTTCTAGCACCCAGCATGTCAACCAAGGATCCTAGCACAGAAGCACCGACACCTCAGGTGGAGCGCGCTGTGTGAGCCCACCAACACCAGCCCCTTCTTCTGCCGTGCCCTCACCCAGTGCCCACGCACAGCTGCTCTCCACCTGGTGACAGCTCACGGGGACGGCAGCACGGCAATCACAGCCCTGCACACGAGGCAGCAGGCTGAGAGCAATGCTCTAGAATGCAAGGGAGAGCCATTCACGTGAGCCAGGCCAGCCTCGCAGCCCCGCCGCCCCTACAAAGAATAGAGAAGAGCAAGGGGCTGCCCGCAGCCAGCCAGCCACATGCTGCAGGTGCTGCATCACACTGCCGATCCCCAGAGCATCCAAACACAGCGGGCAAGGCAAGCCCAGAGCCACAGTTCCAGATGTCAACAGGTGCTGCGCTCTTACCGCCGCTGTTACTGCCAGCCCCGTAAAACGGGGCCAAGATGGGACCGGGCTCGGCAAGCTGCCTGGGAGCTCTCTTTAGAGCACAAGCATTACTTCACAGCTCGAGAGACGAAGAAAGGCACGGCCGGAGCCTCCCGACTAATTGTCCCGTGCGTGCCCACATAAGAGAGCGCCGCGGAGCCCCGCTGCAGGCCGCACCCCGCTCGCGAGCAGCCAAGCCGTAGCGCCGGGCGCCGCAGGGGCTCCGCGCGGAGAGCGGCGCCGCAGAGCCACGGGCCCGGCGTGCCGCACGGACGGCGGCCTCGAGGGAGGAAAAGCAGCCAACGGCCCTCCAGCGGGCTTCGGAACGGGCGGCCGCGTGCCCCCGGCCGGTCCCGGTCGCCCCGCCCCAGCCCCGCGCCCCGCCTTGCCTTGAGCTGCGACTTGGAGACCTTCCCGCTGCGGTCGAGGTCGAGCGCGGTGAAGGCGTGCCAGATGGCCTTCAGCAGCTCGTCCTTGAGGCCCACCATGGCCGGCCGGGCTGCCGACACCCCGCTCCCGCCGCCGCTCACGCTCGGCTTCTCCCTTCCCGTTGCCCGCCGCCGCCAGGCCCGCCCCGCACCGCCCCGGGGGCGGGAGCCCGGCCGCCACAGGCGCCTCCCCGCTCGGCGCTGAGGGGAGCCGCCCGCTTCCCGCCGCCTCCGCTGAGGGGCGAGGGACGTCTAGCGCCTACCTGCCCGCCTCACACAGCGGCTGGGCAACCACGAGCACAGAGCAGCGTGTCAAACGGCGGCTGGGCTCACGAACCGTCGGAGGGAGAACAACTAAGATAGCTCGAAGTTGATGATTATTAGCTTTGAGCGTCGACCTCACGCTTTATGTGCGGACTTCTCAGAGCAGGGACCTAGCTTTTGTTTTGCAGAGTTGAGAGGTGGTCAGCAGCTCGTTTTCGTAATTACAATAAAGCGGAAGACACAGCACCCCACAGAAAATAATTGTGAAGGAGGAAACCCACACGCTTCCTTCCAGTTACTCTGGATTTACATGACACGGTTGAATCCTTTGCCAACACTTGTTTCCCACTCAGAACATGAGAAGCCAGCTGAGCTCATTAGGGCAGCAGCCCATGCTCCACACTGGTTCCTGTAAGCCTCACCTGATCCATCTTCTGGTGAGCTGATCAAAAAGTTTTTTACCTAACTTGTAAGCTTCTACTACGTTGTTTTGTGTACATATACACACAAAATGCACATGGCTTTACTTACGTGTGATTGAAACAACTAAGCAAAACCATTTAAGCCAAAGTTCACGCACAGACAAGCTTGCATCTGCTCAACAAAACCTTTGCCTTTTACACGGAAACACAAAGTACAGGGCTAACTGCATCCACATTCAAGCGTGACTGTGGTTATTTTAAGCAACAAACCCATTAAAAGGGACCGGTCTGGGTCTCCCTCCAAACAATCTACATTTAAAACCTTTGAAGATAACATTGGCACAGTCTGTGGAACACTAATTAACGGTGATTACACTTAACCACAAAGCCCTTGATAGCACTACATAAGCTAATTTGCTTGCATTATTCATGTGACAAAAGTTGTGATGCAACTTGACATACTTCTGCTTTTCTTGGAAGTTGAGATCTCAGCAATTCTATTTTACAGGCTGTGCTTTTTCAAATCTTGTTTGCTAACCCTGGTTAAAGCATGACTGAAGTGTGCTGGGGAGGTGAGGGAGCAAAAACTGGCTCAGACTCAGAGTGACTCACTTTCAGGAAAAAGCTTTAGACCTTGTTGAAGCCCAGCCCTAAGAGGTCAATTGCTTCTCTCTTCCTCCTCCCTCCAGAAGCTTAATTACTTGTTACCTAAATGTTTAAGTATTTGTCTAGGCAGTTCTAACGAGAACAAAGATTACACATTTAAACCGTTGCTAATTTTGTCTTCTGCCACTGAGTCACTTAAAACGTCATCAAGGAAAGAATTCAGACATCGGTAACTCTCAGATTTTGCTCATTGTTAACTCAGAGAAAGTCATCCTGAGCAGTGACTGGAAGAGTGGTTTTCATTCTCAGCAAAGCTACACTGAAGCAAACAGAAACCGAAGACCTTTAAGTATTAACTTTTTAGCCTTTGAAGAAAATTATTTCTAGCACCTCTTATTTCACAGCAAGACTTCAATAGAAAATAAATATAAAGCAAATGCCAGTGTTAAATGATTGATGTGTTGCAGTTTCTGACTGGAATAACCCAACTCCAAAAGGTCTCAAACTCTGAAGGCAAGGTGAGAAGCAGCACTAAGCATATTTGGCATGACAATGTAATCGGTCCTCAAATCTCTTGATGAATTTATTTCTTCAATTATTTTAAAATCCATTTCATCTCCAGCCTTACAACACATGCCCCAAACATTCTCACTGAAACTATGTAGAAACTAAGTATGAAAATTATTTCAGGTGAAATAGGCAGCAGCATTGGATACCAAGTGAAATGTTAGCTCAGTCTCACAAAAAAAATAATCTGATGTTTCCTTCTAAGATTCCTAGAACACTCTTTAAAGATATTCCAGCAAAATACACTTCCTTTGATACAGTTTTCAGCTATTTATACACATACTTTTCCAGTCACGCTTAATAATGAGGTAAAATATGCAGCACTAAGTTATCTTTTTGGTTTGTTCCTGATAACAAGCATCTTAGTCTACATTCATAGTTGATAAGATAATGGAAAACTCAGAATCTCAAGTAATTCTTGAGCTTGGACAAGTTAGGTCTTCAAACATGCTAAATAGCAATAAACTGCTTCCTGTTTAATTAGGCACAGTAATATTCTCTCCTCGAGGCACCTCCCTTCCCCTTACCCCCATCCTGTACGTTGAAGGTGAAAGCATATTCACTCAATTCCAATTGCTTAAACAGAAGCGGAACTTTAATTTCCTACTGCTGTCCTGCCCACTCAGTGCTTCTTCCTGCTGTCTCCCTGCAGTTTCTTCAGACAATAACCTGTGTCAGCTCAGCAGCTTCCAATTGGGGGAGCTAGAAGCTCTCAGATAGTTTCTGCAGTTACTGAAAAAAGGAAAGGTTCGTGCAGAGAAGAGCTACACATTTGACTTTTTCTGGTCATTGCTTTAGAACAAGCCCTTGAAAACAGCAAAGCTATTGGTAAGCAACACCAGTGCTGAGGATTATTAAACTTGTGCATTTGATATATATCAAAATTACATGTAAGTGAAATCATGGTGGTATCTTTTCCAAATCTACAGAAATGCAGAGGGTGAAGATGAAAAAAGTTACCACTTACTAAAATTACTGTTGATAAGAATGGTTAATCACTACTGAACAAAATAATGATTTCTAATAGTGAAGGAAATGCCATACTAGCGCACACACCTGCTAGACAAAACTTTCATTGACTATTTTGACTAGCAGGTGTTGCTGAAGACCACTAAACACATTAAAGACAAGGTCACAAAATCAGCTTTTGGTAGGGTGCACATGGCTTTATTTTGTTTTGTTTTAAATTCAGTTCAACCACACCATCACTCTGATGGATTGCAGACACTGGATTCAGATTCAGGCAGAAGACAAACACACAGCTAGTGGAGACAAGGATGTAAAATACCAGCTTTACAGTTATTTTAAGGTTCTCTTTATATGTAGTTCTTCAAAAAAGTCAGGTACTCTGATCTATGTAGTCAAAGTACTACAATACCTCTGCTTCGCAAAATGAACCTATTAAAAAAAGATCACAAGAATAGTGGAAGTTAAAACAGGTACTTTGAATAACATTTGCCTCCTAGTTCTGATACTTGCTGCATTAACTGAAATAAAACTTTCCTCTTAAAGTGCTGAAGTTCACCTTGTTATGCCACACTTGACAGAATTTTTCCAAGTGATGTTTGACTTCCTGTACCTCAGAAGAGGCTAGCAGTTTCTTTTTCCACCTGAAAAGGTGGCTCGTGCCACCTCTCTACAATTTTTGCCTAAACATTCCTGCATTAAATTTATAAGCTACCACAATTACTTTAAATTTCTATTAAAGAAATCCTTCAAGGGCAGTAAAATAGAGACACCTCTTCTCACTCAGCAAGCATCTAAACCACAAATCACTGGATGCTATAAATATTCAAGGAAATAAAGCACTGACACATTTCACAAGTTCTCTGGCTTTTCCCACAGTAGTCAGGATTCTCAGCCTTCACACTGGCCTGACTCAGGAAAGTTGTTCCCATGAAAATTTGAGATAAAACTTCACCACTCTTACTGCTCCTGCAAACCACTGAAAGAACTCAGTTCCTTTTAAAACATTCTCCTTCACAAATGGGTGAAAGTTAAACCCTAAAGCCACTTCAGTTCTAAATTTTAGGCTGGGCATCACTTACATTACAGATACAAAACCTGCCACCAGCACATCCACGTAGGCACAGCATAAAGCTTGTTTGTACAGCAAACCTGTAATGATGTTATGAGCTTAAAGCAACAATCTGAAGTAACAGCAGGTAATTATCATGAGTAATTTAAGTTATTTACATTACATGAGCAAAAAGACTAAGTTTGCTTAATTTCCATTACTGCTTAGAAGCATGCTTTAACAGAGGTATCAACACAGATGAAGACTGTATCATATACACCAAGTCAAATCTTAAAGGAACTCCAGTCTATCAGTTTTTACTGATGAGAACTGCTTATTCAGCAATTAGCCAAAACAAGCCTCTGAATTTCATTGTCATATACAGAGGACCAAAACACCTCTTAGAAAGAAAAATACTTAGCAGTTAATATGAAAATTGTGAAGTTAAATCTTGATGGTCCACTCAACTCATATACAACATCTCTGCAAAGCCACCTCAATTTAATTATTTTTAATACAGCAACCTAAACATTTGCTAAATAGGCTAGTCAATTAAGCCTTCATTACTTTTAATGTAGCTCTCCTCTTTATGTATACTACATCTATGTGAATATTTTACATCCACACCACAGAACATTTGCTTTTACCACATTCCATCCAGTTCCTGCCAGTTTCAAGTTCTGCGTTAACAGTTCTCTTCCCGTTCTCAGCAATTCATGTTTTCCTCCTTACCTCAGAAGCAGCAGGTCTTCCTCCACAGTCTGCCCCAGTCTTCAAGTCTAGTTCATCCAGTTCCAACTCCAGTGGCTTCAGCTTCCCACCACCTTGCAGTGCTTTCCTGAAGCTGTAGAGACAGACTGCTGTTGATATACAGCAGCACAGACCGTGTTGCTTTTGCCCCAACATAACTATCAGTGACTCCCACTCTCCTGCGAGGGAATCACAATCCACTAGATAGGAATAGGAAGCAAATCTAATCCAGATTTGCCATGTTCCTGACTCAACGTTTCACTTCCACAACTATAAAGTTTAAATAAGCATAGGACACTACTAAACACAACTTGTAACTTTAATATTCAAATTCAACACTAGTAAAAACAAACAGAGCACAAATGGGAGAAACACTGTGTACACTAAAATTAATGAAGAAACAAGCCAGTTACTAGAACAGTTCTATTTTTTAGTAACATCTGTTAACCTAAAGCCAACATCAGTACAAGTTTCAATGGCCACATTCTGTTTGTTTGGGAACTTAAAACTGAATAGTTAAAACTTTTCTGTTGGCATCCCAGACTGCATTTTTACTAGAGTATGCTATATGCACAGTTAAACTTATGTACATAAACAATGAAGAACAACCTGAACACTTACACTAAACAATTATTTACAGGTATTTCAACATTAAAAAATATACAAGAGCCTCAAGAATGAAAAACTGAAGAAAATACCAACATTTAGAGAACCTTATTAGAAAGGATTACAGAACATCAATAGCCAAGACATTAACAATTGCACTACACTAATACAGAGTCCAAGTATTAAATTGGTGCATTATTTCACAATGCACTAGCTTCAAGAGAAAAATGCTGCCTTCACTAAAACGCAGCTTAGATTTGATTCGTGTAATTGTTTTAACAAGAAGCCTATTAACACAAGAATGATTGTTTTAATGCTACAGTTTACAGCGAGGACAAAACACTAAAATAGCAGCAGTTCCACATGGCACTTAATTCCACAGGTTTCTAAGCTGTGGTTTATGCAATGCCTACAAAGTGCTCCCAGTTGAATATACAAATAAAATTCACAATAGAAGTCTACCTGACATCAGGTACACCGAGCATAGGTGGCCTTAAAGCCCGTCTGTCAAAATCTATTCCCCTCTGCTCCCAAAACAAGTAACACAGCAAGTCCCCTTCCCTCCTTCTTAAAGATCATTATGGATAGTACTTATTACGATGCTGTAACACTAAAAAGCAGCACACCACTATAGTGGTTAACCCTGGGACAATGTGACATCTAACAGTGTAACTGAAACATTTATGGATTAACATCCAGGATCCTCTACAGATAGTAACCGAGTCCATTATCTCAAAGGCCAATACAGCTCCTCAGCCATATCGTAGAAATTAAAAACCCAGAAGCAATTCCTGTAAAACTAGCAACACTGTCCAGAGAGGACAAGAAACCAGGAATTGAATGTTCCCTTCAAATCCTCAGGCTTCAGTCCAGCAGAGATGCTATTGCCATTCTCAGTAGTTCTTTTGGACCTCAGAATTCAGTATATAGTAAGACTAACTGAGCGGTTCATTTTCTTGCCAATGAGTCGAGATGGTCTACTCTGTGTCGTGGATCTAGTTGTCATTCTGTCAGTGAACAGAGCTCTCTCTTCAGCTGCAGCCTTTGCCATCTGTGCCTTCTTCAGCTCTCTGCAAGACATCAGAAGCCACACGTTAGCAAAGCACCAGTGGGAGCCTACATGCATGTCACAGCAAGCACTTCCGATTAATTACAGGATTTCAGAACTAAAGATTTGCCATTCAGTTTGGGATAAAAACCTTTAACAGCTCCCCACTGGCTTCTGCTTGTATTTATAAAAGCAAAAGGAATTGCTGTCAATTGAAGTATTTATACACAACATGCTCACTAGTTCTTCTAACCTTATGTAATACTTGTTTCAACTCAGTTTGCCATCAATGATAACTGAATGTGGAAAAATGATTAAGTTGCATGTTTTCGTTCAATTGACCAGCTCTATTTCTGTAAGCCAGGGCATTATTAACACCAGTGTCCCATCTCATTCTTTCCATATTTATACGGTGCCAGTTCACTGAAATAATGTAATCTATTTTTACGACCTATTTCCTTAAAAGACTGGAGGTTAGTCATACATGCACGTGTCTACCCATCCATCACACTAATACTAGAAATTAAGATTTACAACACATATCTATTCTTCCCTAGAAGTCTAATCTTGCATTCTTCCTTCCAATGAAGGACACAGTACAAGAGCTGAGTTTCCTTACAATGACTCTTTCCATTGAGAACTCACATAAACAAGTATTATCTTAAATGGGCCAAAGGGAAGCACACTAAGAACACAACACAAAAAACCCTACTCAAGCTAATTCACAGAGCACCATACAACTGAAAATTACTGTGCAGAGGCAGACCTTTGAAGTCATTCTTACCTTCAGTTATTTTTTTTAGGGACAAAACTACAAGCAGTTGCTTATTGCAAGGCCAGTAGTCATCACTAAATTTAAACTGAAGCCAACTTCCCTTTCACATGATTTAAAAAATAAATAACTTCATCTTTACATTAGCAAGAAAGTTACCTCAGCAAACCTGTCCTTACAAAACTGCACAACCTGTCAAATTATTCTTTCTGCAGTCAATCACAACAATCTCATGAAAAACATTAAGAAACTAAGTTATATTTAAGGACCCCAAAGAATCACTTACTTCTGCAAGAGTGAATTTTTGAATTTTTCAGCATTCAGTTCTATCCGCAGCTGCTCTGCGCTCTTCTTTGCGGCAGACAGCAGCACTGAATGCTTGACAAGCGCCACAGCTGAAGGTCTTTTCTCTGGATCAGGGTTGATCATAACCTTGGAAAAGAGAAAATAAGTCATTCTAGTTAAGGCCAGTAATACAGTAAACCACAAATCAGTGAGCGGCTGGAACAAGAGCGCTTACTTTTAGTAAATCCAGCAGTTCTTGAGAAAGCACTTGCGGTATTCTTGGTAGTTTTCCTTGTCGGATTTCATGCCATTGGTCGCCGTTAGTTGGAAGAGGTTCAGCCCCAGCAGCACAGACAACGGTTAGAGCAAGAGCAAAAATATCTGCTTTTGGCAAATGAGTGTAGTTCTTCAAAAATAAAGAAGAATATATTTATTAGAGGCACTACCCAGTAATAAAAAGAAATCTGACAAATAGACTAATCAACACTGAACACACCCACACCACATTTCCACCAGTAGTCCGGGAGAAATCGTTTACAGGTTTCTCCCTCAGCAAGGAGGCAGCAGACAGCAAATCAATAATGAAAACGGCACACGGATCTAACACAAGTATCTTCCACAAGGATAGCTACCTCCTGTAGGACTTCGTTCGCAAGGAAACGGCTGTCACCTTCTTCCACTTGTGGACTTGATACTCGAGTTACATGACCAAGGTCACCTGCAAAAACATGAAGTTATTTCTCAGAAATGCACATGATGCAGCTCTTAAGCACAAGCTAGCTGCTTCTTACCTATTTTAAATATGACTCTATCAGATGACCACTCATCATCATCACCTTCTTCTGAAGTTGTATTTGGCACCGATGTCCTGGATATGAAAATGTTACCTGAAAAAAAGTACAATTGTTAAAAAAAAAAGTTTGTATCTAAAGTTTGTATCTAATTTTTGCTTTACCTGGCTTCACTCATTTATTTTAGCCATACAGAACCTTAGTTGCATACCCAACTCCTCAAGCAAGAAATTATAGCACACAGACACTCTCACTCTGTGCCTCTCTGCTGGGAGAATAGCTAAGTATTATGCAAGAAAAAGTCAATTACACAAAAAAGATCCAAGATAAACTCATTAACAGTTTAAGCTTGCTAGCCAACTTCATAACTGACATCTTTGTACTGCTACTTAGAACTTCAATGAGCAATTTACAGTTAATAATGTGTGGCTAACTGCTCATTTGTCTACAGCAGACTAAGTTAACTGAGGAAGCTATCAGTAGATTAAAGCAGTTAACACTTACTAGGTTTGATATCCATGTGCACCAGTGACATTGAATGTATGTACTTTAAGCCTCGAGCCACCTGAAGCAGTAGGTCCTTCAGCTCTGGCTCAGTAAAATAACGCATGTTCCTGTAATTCTCACTTATGGCATCAGCTAAACTGCCACCTAGAAAAGACATTAAAGAAAACAAATATTTTTTTTTCTTTTACATCAGACAATTTTACATTGAGAAAGTAATGACAACTAACTTTAAGTACAACTGACTTCTAGAATTAGTAGCAAATCTATCATCAAAAATTTGCTGATGATGCATAGGAATGTATTACTTTTCTTTTTTTCCCCCTCCTGCGTAGTCTGTTACACCACCATGCAAATCAACATGATAACGGAACACAAAGATCTCCTTCCATCTTCTAAATCTCTGGCAGGGTATCAACCATAACAATTCCTCCAATCTTCAGGGGAAAAATCTTTTCTCACTATTCCAGCTTGAGATATTATACAAAAGAATGAACAGCTTTGCTGCTCACAAACACTTAGTGTAGTTCCAATATTCTTGAACGCTTAACGCTATCTGCAGTTTTGTAATTATTACTTCATGTATCTGTTATCCCTTCTTCAACAGAAAGGAACACATAAAACACATTTGAGACAATGACAGCACCAGCTATGCGTAGGGCAATCAATTCTTGCTTAATGCCAGCAATTTGTAGATACCTGTGTATCTCCAAAAATCAGGTTATTAAACAAGGTCAGGTCAATTAATAAACAGTACTTACCATTGCAGTATTCATTCTGTATAAGCATATGATCATCTTCTGCCCACGCAGAGTAGTATCTTACTACGTGAGAATGTTGCCCCAGAACTGCGTGTGCATAAACCTCTCTTAAAGCATTTTGCCTGTTAGAATCATAAGAAAACAGCACATAAGAATGTTAGTAGGTAAAATTAATTCAATTTCAGCTTGATATTGAAACTCACTATATCATGTCTTTAAATAAAAATCTTCATGCTCATCTCTGTGGCACCTTACGTTGGGTTTGTATTTATGTCCAACCAGCTAAAGCCATTTATTTTGCATTAAAAGATTAAGTATACTGAACATTAAAAATCAGGCTTTGTTGCAGATGATTTCTGAGAGCTGCCACTTGCATTACTTGCTTTCCAACCACACTCAGCAGCAGGTTTTCAGAAGCATCATCGAAGTTTTAGGAAAAAAAATGATCAGAACCATAAGCCAGAATTATAAATAAGTTTTTGGGCCACGAGCACGACTGAACAATCTTAACTTCTCTTGTATAGGCCTAGCGTGCAGTTTTGAGCAGCACACACTAATACACCGTTTAACATTGAGGAAAAAGAGCCAGCAACATCAGGCTCATCCAAAAAATGCCTGACAATCTTTATGTCACTCAGACCCAACACAGATGAGCACCCAGTTGTGGGAACGTTGCTTTCCTTATGCATTCAAACATCAGTGCAGCACAGTTTATTCATACAGTACTCTCCTGCCACTAACGCAAGTGAGCATTGTCTTTTATTTCCAAACAAGAGCACTCTGGTTCCATTTAGAATACTGGGATAAATCTGTTGTGGTCAAGTAACCTCTCTTCCCCGGTTTCTTAAGTTTGTACAGTATTTAGAAGAAAAACAAAGAAAACAATCACACAAAAAAGCATCAAAAGGTAGCTTGTAAGAGTAGGAAATACTCACTCATCCACTGAGCCAGCTAAGGGCTTCTTGGATCTTTTTATAGCATAAATACATCCATCAAGCCTCTTCACACACTTAAACACAGAACCAAATTCACCGGATCCGATCTTCTCCAGCTCATGAAATTCGGTTGCATATCGTGACTTCATATTACTTTCTGTTATTGTGATCCTCTGTAAAGATTAGAAAGGGAAGCACTAAGATGGGCAGACTCACAGAGTGCCAGAACTCACATCAAGTTCTAAACATTCATTACCTTAGCAGGTCTGATAGCTTCGTCCTCAGGCTCTCCATCACTTGCTTCCATGTCCTCTCCACAAGAGCTGGAATTCACACTTGTTAGTTTTGCAGAATTAAAATGGCTTAATTTACAACTCAAGTCTAGCACCTATTGATTGTCCTGAGATCCAGCTCCCTATTCCCCTCAAGTTTAGTCTAACTGAACATGAGGTATTTATAAGCAGAAAGTCAAAACAAAATCACAAAAAGCTCAAGCACCATTGTTATTTCTTCCCTCATGTTTCACACTGCTATTTAACGTGCTCACCCCTCCACAAGAAACAGCCGTGTGCGCAGCGCTGACAGTAGGACACAGTCTGATCTTTCTCTGCCATGTTCTAACCCAAAGACCTAATACTAAACCATTCTTCTGCACAACCACGCTTTTCAAAGACACACAAGCTCTAGAGCTCTATTTCACATTCCTATTTGCCAAGAAAACTGTTCTCACAGAAGCAGTTTGAAACAAACTTTACAAAGAGACATATTACTCACTCATTCCAGTGCGTTCTCTTCCTCCTTCGACACTGCCCTTCGGAGTTGTGAAGGAACATGGAATCGGGAGTGAAGGGATTAATATTCACGTGAGGTGTTTGTCTAATATCTGAGTCTTGCTTTTCTGACCTCCCAACGTTCATAAATAGAGAGCCTCCTCGAAGTTTGACTGAGCTGGAGCCCAGTCCTTGGGCTTTAGAAAGCAAACTCTGCATTTAAAGAAAATAGAAAAGACATTTACGGACTTAATATTGCTTTAGACACAAAAAGTCATATAAGCAATACAGAGCTTAGACTACACATCAGGCCACAGATTTCAATGGCAAGCTTAAAGCAAAAACTGAACGCCATCAAATCAGAGATTTGTTCATCAAACAGTGCACAGAAGTCCGCAGCCGAGCCTCCTAAAGCCTCACAAGGCTGCTGCCACCGTCCTACCGCCTCGCCAGCAGGAGCACCACCTCGTCCAACCAGCCTCGTACCGAGTCCGAAGGACCCGAGGGAAGGTCTGCACGCAGAGGTCCCAGCCGTGCTCTCCAAAACCAAACTAGATGGAGACGCTCAAGGTTCTATGGATTCTCAGCACGGTTCTGCGTTCCCACTGGATAACGTCACCGATTTTTCCGAATTCCAAAGGTAACCTCCCCGAGATAACCAGCAGGGAATCTGGGCAACTAATCCAACATCTCCGCCGAAACTCAGCGTTAAGCCGTGTGGTTTAAGCGCCACACGCTCGCATCTCCAAAACGTTCGTTCCTACTTGGCGTAAACCCATCTCCCTCCTCGCCTAATCTAAGCAAGGCGCGACGCGGCGGGGAAAACCTCATTTACGGGGAAAGTCAGGGAGAAAAACGAAATCGCAAAGCACGACGGCGGACAGAACGCCGCCACGTTTATCTGCGCGGAACATCAATTACTCCTCTTTTACTTCGCCTTCCCCACGAGCACGGGGACGGCGGCGCGTTTCTGCCCCGCCTCACGTGTCCGCAGGTCGCGAGCCGCCCCGGGCCGGGCGGAGCGCCTCCCCGCCGCACGTCACCGCACGGCCGCGCCCGGTCCCGCGCAGCGCCGCGTTCCAACGGCCGGACGCGGGGGGCGCCGCCCCCCCCCCCCAGCTCGCCCGGTAACGGCCGCCCCGCCCGCTCCGCCGCTCGCTCACCTTCGGCGTGTGCGGCGTGTCGAAGAGGCGCAGCTTGCGGAACGTCTTGTGCGGCGGCGTGCCGGGGTAGTCGGGCAGCGGCGAACCGGGCTCGTCGCCACGCAGGCGGCAGCCGCCCGCCGCCGGATGCGGGGGGGAGCGCGCGCCGGAGCGGCGGCCCTTGTGGGGCGGCGGCGGCGAGGGCGAGCCGGCCATGAAGTAGGCGCCGGGCGACTTGACGGGCGAGGAGCCGAAGCCTTCCTCCTCCCACGAGTCCCCCTCGTCCGGCAGCGGCGCGGCCGCGGGCTCCATCATCTCCTCCTCCTCCTCCTCCAGCAGGGGCGGGCCGCCCCGCGCCGGGGTGCGGGCCACCGAGAGCGGCGAGTCCGCCTCCTGGAAGGCCGAGTCCTCGCCCGTGCTGTTGCCGCTGCTGCCGCCCTCCTCCTCCTCCTCGTCTTCGTCCTCCTCCTCGCAGTCGCTGTGCCCGCTGTGGAACAGCAGCTTCTGCCGGATCGGGGCGGCCGCCCGTCGGGCCGAGACCCGCCGCGGCGGCGCCGTCGGCTGCAGGCTGAGGAAGCTCATGGCGGCCCGCCGCTCGGCGAGCCCCGACTCCACGGCCGCGTCGAGCCGAGCCGCGCTGTGCCTCGCCCCGCTCCTGCTCCGCCCTGGGCGCGGTACCGGCTGCTCCGCGCGGCGCTGCCTCCGGGCACGGCGCACCTCGCGCTGTTCGGACTCCGCGGCTTTCCCGCGACCGTTAGTCACGTGGCGCGCACGCCAGCCAATCGCGCCCGCCCCCTCCGTTTGAAAACACGGAGGGCGGGGGCGGAGCTCCACGCGCTCGCGTCACGGAGCGCTTTGGCGCGAACGAGGAGAGGGAGGGGGCGGGGCCGGGCGCGAGCCTCCGCCGGGCGGTTGGGTGGGGGCGGGGCCGCTACCCGACACGCGCCCCGAGGCGGCCGCACGGACGCGTCCGAGCCGTGCGGCCCGGCGCCATCTTAGCCGCGGGGCGCGGCCCCACGCGACACCGCGCTTCGGGGCCGGGCCCGCACGGGGAGCGGGCGGGGAGCTCGAGTCTTCCGTGCCACGCCGCCTCGGGCTCCGGAAGGACCCGCCTTACGGCGAGCTCGGCGCGGGAACGCTCCCAAGTCTCGCTTGGCGCTGTTCCTCAGCTAAAACGGAACATCAGCGCTCGGTGCGCTTCAGCTGGCGCGCTCCGCGCCGCTTCTTTGCTCTGAGGAAGGACACGCAATGCAGCCACCGCAACTCCCACAGGAGCCTTAAAGGGCCCGCGGCCGCGCTGAACGCCGTGCCCGCGCTGTGTAACACGGTTAATAAAGAACAAAGTTAGCACTCAGCCGTGTTTTCCTCCAGAACCTGCAGGAGCAGAGCCCTTGCGACAAACCTGGTGCCGCACAAACGCAGAGTGCTTTAAATAACTTGAGCCATGTTGGCCATTGCCGTGACTCAGTACCTCCCCGCAGTCCCAGCTGATGCACAGCGAGGTGGTGTTGCTTACAGCTGCTCACAGCTCCACCAGCATCTCAAGGGACAAAGGCCGTTCGTTTTCCTTCTGATGAAGCGCAGAGGAACGTTTCCACTTCGGTGTCATCTCCCACGTGCTCCTCACGCTTCTGGTCGCCTGAAAACTGAAGGTACTTCTTTGTTTTCAGGCAACCGGTGACACAGTTTCTGAGATTACAGAAAACTGATTTGTGCAAACTGAAGGCAAACCTATGAAAAAAAGAACAGGGCATCGCTTACACAGAGATGGCCACACCAAGCCAAGTGCTGTACAAACACTTGCCTTGCAATGATTCAGAACTACAATAATGTCCCATTCAGAACGTGAATGCACCGTATAGCAGATACCAACTCAAGTATTTGAGTTTCAAGATAGATGGAATACAAAAAGGCCTCTAAAACATACAGCTTTCATCTTGATCAGTGGTCCACACGAGAAGATGAAAAGCAGTTTCTTATAAAGGACCCAAAACTGTGGCTTGCTTCATTCATATATTGTCTTCTTTAAAAAAGTTAAAAGAACAAGCTTTCAATTAAAAAACTGCCCCTTTTCTTCCCCCTTTCCCCCCACAAAAAATAAAAGGGGGGGGGAGGGAAAGAAAGTAAAAGTTGCAGTTTCCTTCCCGAACTCAACCTAAATATAACTGTTGCTGCACTGCTTTCTGGATCTACAGACACAGCTATTCAATGGGGGTAAGAGGCAAATGGAACTTCAGAAGCCTCTTTGTACAGAGTAACCACTTAACTGTTGATCAGTGTAACAGCTTAAATAGGACAACATCAAGTGGAACAAGGATGAGTTTGTGCAGAAGAGGAAATAGTTCTAAAGAACATGAAGAGAAAAATGCAAGTGGAAAAAAAAAAAAAAAAAGGAATGGTGAAAGAAATGAACAAAATAAACCCAATTGTTTAAAAAGAAAGTTTATTTCCAAACTGACAGCAAATAAGAAAAGGAAGTATTGAATAAATGTGCAACTATTAACAAAATGTGTAGCTGCTGTAAAAGGACCACATATTCAAGCTTCTACATATGTGCCATCCTGAAACTGCATGAGTTGTTTTTGCTGTATTTTGATGGGACTATCAATAGTTGTACTGAAGAAAAGTTGATTTTCCCCAAGCATGAGAATGGTAACTCAGCCACCCTGCCCACCATGAACAAGGACTAACATTACCAGGCCTATCAACAGCCTAAAAAAAACACACTACAGAGCCCATTTCCATAGGGAGTACATTAGCAGAGGAGATTGTCACAGGAAGAAGAGAAGTGAGCAGGGAAGAGAGGTGAAGTGGTCTTCTACTGCACTATATTCTTGGAGCCCTAATTAAGTTCAGCCCTAATTCTTGGAAGCTCATTAAATTGCACCTTTGAGCTTCTGTAGATCACGCTAATTAAAGATCTGATCCCATGAATAGATGTGTACCCTGATGTCCAGGCAACACTTACCTAGCAATAGTGCAATGTCTACCAATTCAATTTATTTTCAGAATATATTTGCAATTTTTTAAAAAACTACTTGCTTTTGAATTAAGAAGTGTATCAGTCCAGTGCACTCAAGATTTCTGCTACCAGAAATGCTTATCTGGGGTAGCACACTCTGACTGATAACCACCAGCTTTTAACTAGGAGTTTTCAAGCTCAAAGGGAAACAGTTCTCTTCTTCCTGGGTAGCAGGACACCCAAACAATGATGAATGGGAAAGAAGAGAAACAATGGCCAATCTGTCTAGCTGTCAGAGGAAACTGCCACAGAAGGGAGTACAGTGCCTACTTGCCAGGATTTCCTCCACTTACAAGTTCATCTGCAGCCCCCCAAAACCACAGCGATCAAATTGGAAGAGTTCTGCCAAAAACTGGATGAAACCCACCTGTAGAGCAGCCAGCATAATCTTGAAACTGGTTCATTTTATGAGAAGGATAAACAAAGTGAAAAAGAAAAGGAAGGTCAGGTTGCTTCTATGAAAATTAGAAACTCCAGCAGCTTGTACTTGATGCTGCCAGTCCTTTTACTCTTTTTAGCCCATACTCCTCATGTAGATAGAACATTTCTCAATGATGTTAATTGCACTTCCTGGGTGAACACAAGAGCAAGAGATGGAGGTGGACAACAGAAAGGGGAATTTGACAGCCTCCTATCAAAGAAGAAATTCTGGGCCCAAAATAAAGGAATTCAATGAAATGATCTGAAAATGCTCAGAAAGAAGTTATATTAAAAAAAAAACCAAAACAACAACAACAACAAAACACAGATTTTGCCAAGCAGTCAGGCACAATTCCTCAATGTTTGTCTATAACAACGAAAGCATACACTCTTCTTCAGGCCTTAATGACACCCTTTCTGCATGCATTTCTGCCTCTGGTTACAAAGAAAACAGGAGAACAATCTGATCCTGTGAGTTGTATTTTCTTGAAATTTGCAGAGTGCTATACTGCACCCCTGTAGTTTGAAGAGAGAATGATTGCCATGACTGAAAACAACAGGTACAATGAGAATGTCCCTCTCCTGGGCCAAAGTGAAGTTAAAATCATTGTAATAGAAGATTAAAAGCCTCAAAATGTCCCATGCACATAAACAAAAGTCACTAGTAGTTTACTGGCATCTCTAACCTTTGTCTTTTTCCCCTCCAGGAAACATACAAAATCATGAAAGTACTCTGCCTTTTCTCAAACTTACTGCAACTTATTTTAATAATCTCTTGTACGTATCATTTAATGTAAGATATCTTGCAAGCATAGAGATGCAGATAAGCAGATAAAAACTTAAGACCCTTTTTTTTTTTCCATGCAATCATTTGTGCTCAAAAACTATCAATGTTTTGTCATTCTTCTGAGTAAAATGCTTCAAATAATTTAAACAGAACAAAATGAATCCAGACAAAGTCTCTTAGTTCTTCAAAACCTGAGCTGGATGGGATCTAAAAGGGTCACATTTCCATTAAAGAAAAACACACAGACTATGCAGGACAAAATGCTTCCTTGTTGATATAAGCTTGTATGTTTGTTGGGATAATTAAGTCTGCTTTGAATATAACTCTTCAATTGGAAAAGTCTGCTATCATTTTAACAGTGGGGTCAGGTGCCAGCCAATTACTATTAAAGGTGATAGTCTAATTGCACTGTCAGATATTCCTTCGGCCAAGTGAACTTTGCTGGCAAAGTAACATCAAAGGAACATCAAAGGATCATCAAAACTACTGAAAACACCTAAGCTACATTTTAAATACACAACATGACAACAAAAAATGCTGATTTATATGACTTATTTTATGGAGCATAGTTTACTGTTTAAGGCACAGGAACTAAGACTGGCTTTTGGTCTCCTGTCATACAGGTTCAGACTTCAGAAGGCTTTTATCCAATGGAACAAAATATACTTTTGGGAGATCCACTATTCAAATATATAGTGATTTGCAAAAATAGGAGCACATTATTATCAACAATGAACTGGAGACTGAATTCATGCATTTGCATCTGTGCAGACAAGGCACGTGTTAATTCTGGTATGTTTTTTGAGAAAGAAATGAGAAAGAGTGAAATAGTATATTTCTGAAGTCTCAAACAACTGTAAATAGCTGAATAGAATACAAGTTATCCTTCAATTCTAGTTTTCCAGTTTTCTAGAAATTTAGAGCTTGCTCCTTCAGAAATCATTCTCCTGCCTGCCCTACTCTTAATTTCACTTGTGCTATACATGAAAATTCTGCTGATATCTGTGCTGCACATCTTATTGTTACCTTTCAAAGACAAATTAAGTGACTGGGATGGGTTCATCATAGGGCACTTATGCATTCTTGTTAAGCTGGAGCTATGGTCACCCTAAGGCATGCAGCCTGAGTTTAACAGATGAAGCTGTTAAGTTGCTGGATTCAAACAGGTCTTCTTCACATCCTTACTCTGCCGTCTTTCCTAGTGGTTAAAACCGATTAAATAGCTTCTCAGCTCTGCCTCCTGAGAAGTATGGAGCACACAGGGATTTTTCAGTATTGTAGTACAACATGGCTGTCAGAGAAGCCAGAACATCCCCACAATTTAATGAAGGTTAGGAACTAGAGTAAAGTCTAGGAAAAGCTGCCCTCCAAGCTCCTACATTTTGTTTATCTGGACTATTAGCTTTCTCTTCTGTTGTATGCTAGGCAGACATCACATGTCCTTTTTCCTGCCATACTGTGTCTGAGTATCTCTGGTATCAGTCAGCTGACTGGTCGCTGAGATTACTTATACTATCAGGGATTATGGCTTTTTACAACTTTGTTGTCAGGCTTCAGGATTTACTCTTCTAAAAACACAGTCTTGCAGCTTCAGCCTATTCATGTGTGCTTTGGCATTAAGCTCTTTAGGGTAAAAACTGTCCCATTGTTATGCACAATGCCTCTGGCACGAAAGGTCATCAGCCTGGAGCACCTCTAATAATTGCCTCTCTGTTTTTACTATCTGGAGAGGCACTGAACTACTGTAAAGAAAAGCAAATCCCCCAGTGCTGACTGCCAAGTCCAGAGATGGCTTGTTTTTTTTTCCTTTAAGGAATGAGTTAGGGCTGAAATTCAAGTCTGAAAGAAAACTGTGACTGGGAATGCTGGAAATGTGGGAGCCAATTTCTAAGAGGAAGGGCTGTTCTACTTCATAGGATCCCTCTTTTACAATTCCTTCTTCCAGTGTGTCACTCCCTTTGAAACAGAACATTCAAAAAGAGAAGTAAAATCTATGGCAAAATATAAGAGACTTCTACTGCCTAACACCCAGTCCTTTTGGGCATGTTCTTTGCTTCCTCCTCCTGAAACCCTTTTCACCAAGATCCCTACCTCACCCAATTTCAACTTGTGTGATCTCCACTACAGAACCTTCCAAAGGTGATATATGCTCACAAGAAGGTTCCCTTCCATGTCCTGGGAAACCAGCAGAAAACCACAGAGGACTCTCCACTCTGAAAACAAGTCTGTTATACATACAAGGCCTCACAGTGAAAATGCATATAATCATCTCTGGTTCTCTTTCAAGACTAAACAGTCTAAGTCAGTCTGGCTTGTTTATTCAGTATTTAAGTATGTTTTCCTTTATAGGAGTAGCTATGGGGGAAGCACAACCTTTGACTGCAGGAGTTTTGCAAGAACAACTGGTAAGATACAAGAAACATTACTTAAATATTCTGCAGCTTTTCCTTATCAAGCTAGTTTTTAGTACCTAGCAGGAAACTAACTAGTATGAAGGAAGAAGTAATACTCACATTTGTACAGTGATCAGAAAATGTCCTGGGAAATGAGAGGCACTGTTATTTCTTTGTTAAGTCACTTCCAGCCAGTGTTTCCAAAAACTATTAGCAATGAAATTTAAGAAAAAAACTTGAACGTTCATGTCAAATGATACATCTTTAATTTCTAAAAAGTCATAAAAACTAAGAAACTGATCTAGTTGACATGTAATTAACCTCTTTGCATAGTACAGTTTATCTCCATGGGACATCAAAATTACTTAAAATTTCAGGAAATCTGGCACCTAAGTAAGTAAACAGCCTCAATCCTGCAGGAAGGTTGCAGACAACCTGAATGTTTTCAAGTTTTGCTTTGTAACAGCCCTCGAGATTAGACTTTTTTGACCACCTTTATCCCATAGTACTGTGTTCTCTCACAGCATTTTGCAGTTGCCATCTGTATGAAAAGCATAAAAAGCTGCAACCCGTATTGATATGGTCAATCACATTATATTCAGCGTGGCCTTTTTGATGTCAAATACCTCCAAGTACATAGTTATTAACTTATTTTTTTTTAAATGCAAAATAAGCCCCTCAAGACATACAAAATGATTACTTGATCAACGTTTCACCCCCAAGATGTTTAATCTTTCCCTTGAGAAAGACAAAGGTGGGGCTTCAGTTTCTGAAGTGCTCTCGACACTCATCTAAAGCAAGAACTGAATCTTACAGGAAGCCAAGGAAGTTTAACTTGCTCAACAAGCTTACTAACAAGACAATTAAAGACATTTTTCTGTATAAAAAGTTTTAAGTTACATCTTACAGTACGTGTTAGATTTATCTACAATGAATTTTTTTCCTTTATAGAATGATAGGTGGAGAGGAGCACTGTACTTACATCATCTTTAATTAATCCTTTTTTTTTCCTAGTAACTTGTGTCCTGATTTTCAAAATCACTGATTATCAGCACCTCGTAGGTAACAAATAGTAGCTGCAGGCACTCAGAACTGTTGAAAATAGACTATTAGTACATGTATTTATGCCCCAAATGCACCATTTGAACACATTCCTCTTGAAAACTCCTAGTTTACTTTTAAGTCAAAATCAGTTGACTAATTATGATTTTTAATAATTTTTGTAGTGCTTCAGAATGCTGAAAATAACGACTGGCACTGATTACTTCACATACTTCAGTCAATCGCGGTCAAAACGAGTAAGTCAAAAATTTAAATTTATGATAAATAAACTTTGGAAAAAAAAATTATACAAGGCCGTAAATAAATAATTTAACTTGTCCCATCAAAAGTAAAACAGTATGTCACAGAACAATATCATCCTATCTAGATAATACAATCTTGTTATCTTTTATTGCATAATAATTTCAGAGTAACATCTTCAGTAAAATATGTAAAGAAACGAAATCATTAGATTTACTTCTTTTAATATTGAACAACCAAAGTTTCTCCTTTGTACACAATCCAATTTAAAGATAATACAATTAGCACTTCCAGCATTAACAATCTGTATTTACAATGAATGAGATGGGGTGGGTAATCTAAAGAGTTTTCAAATCTGTATGAAACAAATCAAAGTACGAAGGTTTACAGTAGGCTCAAAATCCATGCCTTTTCCATTCATGGAAAACAACTGAAAAGGCTCTGTCTTCTTTATAACCTGAAAGGGTTCTTGAAATTATGATTTTGTTATAGTCTTTACAACACTTCAAATCTTCAGTAATGCCTTCATTATTTGTACATGACACTAAAAATTAACTCCAATACTTCTGTTTTGTTTTTAACTTGCTTGTAGACCAGTCTGAAATCTGATGAAAGGATAACAAGGAAATTTACTATATAATCCTAATTCCGTATTCCTGAATATACAACAGTTGGAAGTAGATGATGTCAGTCCATTCCCAGGGTTATGTACACAGCGCTTAGAAAACGTTCTTTGCTCTTGCATAAAATGTGTACACAGTATCAATGAGAGGGGAACTTCAAAGTTTTTGTGGATTGCTGCTGGCATGGACTTTTGTTGTTTGAAAATAAAATACCTTTCACTCTATTGTTCTGGTAGCAGTTTTAGAAGTTAATCATCAATTCCTGGTGTTTCACCCTGTTGTATTCTGGAGGCTATTCTAATGGCTTCTTCCAGAGACTGTTGTTCTCCAAGCTGAAACAAATGCATTCAAACATAAATAAATCTAAAATTTTACACAGATTAATTTTTCTTTACAGATTTGTAAGATGAAACCAAAGGCAAAGATACCAATAGGTAGTGAGCACAAATTAGTGTGATCAGTACTGTTCATCGCCTGTCATCTACAATAACAGCTATCTAATCAGCATGAAAACCAGGAGATAGCAGATAGCTCTCACAGCAGATTTAACTGAGATTCTGTGTATCTACCAAATTCAGTTTCTTCAAAGAATTGCTGCGTGGTAAATGCATTTCATTACATGTAATAATTCAGACAATTTAGACAGATAATAATTTCACTTGACAGACATAACAAAGCTAAAACAAGGCTTTTGAAATTACAGTAGCCACTAAATTACATTTTAGATCTGGTAAACCAAAACAAACACTTTCAGTTTCCTTAATTCTTCTGAGAAAATAAGCTCTATGGAACAACAACATATGATGTATACAATGCACTGCAGAATTCTGATTATAAAAAGAAACAGTCACGATGACACTGTTCAGTTCTACAGTAGTTTGGAGAGGAAATTATTATCTTGTAGATGCAACTAAAAAGAGAGATCTCCAATTATTGCTTTTTCTACATGACTGTTTACACTCTTTTTCTATTAACATTTCAGAGTTCAAATAACAATTTTAGTAATTTTATCTGTATAGGCAATATACAGCCTATACAATAGGCAATAGCAATGCAACTTTGATAATGTAGCATTCCCAATCATCTTAACATGTAATGCTGAAGGCTGAATGAACACACTCTTCCACAAAAGATCTACTGACTCCCAAACAGTACGTACATCATTCTTCAGTGAAAGATTCATCTGTCCTTAACTTCAGCCCTCCCCAATCTTTTTTAAGTACTACAAGTAGATTTGGAAAAGCAGGTGCTTATTATTCTTCTTCCTAATCTTAAATACTATTTAAAATACAAAGCTATATGGTTACTATTTTTTTTCAAGCTTATTAGACTGATTTTGTTATACTACTAGGAACTTCTAACTCTAGAAGCAAGAAACACTCCAAAAAACATTTTTCACTTTACCTGTACTGCAATTTGTGTTCCGTTGGATGTAGCCAACAATGTAACGGGTCTAGCTTCTGTGGTCACTAAATGGTGCCCGTGTTGTTGATGTCCAATTTCTGATGAGGTGCTATGAAACGCTGCTAAGTCTTGAGCCACGATGGCAACCTTCAGGACCAAAGAATGAGAATCAACTGGATGGTTCCAGATTATTGCTATTCATCTCATACAACTGTTATCTTCAAAATTAAAGTTACATTGAAAGCTACGGCTTTTCATGAGCACAGTTTTATCCTGCAGAGCAGATCATATTTTAAGAAAGGTTACACCACTGTTTCTCAGTGTCATTAGTCCTCAAAACCTAAGTATCTTCAGAACAGCACAGAAGTTCACTAACTGTATCTGTAAGCCTATGATTATCTACACATACAGGGAATGCATACACTCATACAGAGAAGTAAATATATTCATTTTCACATGGCACATTTTTAGAACAGTGGGATGTATTTTCACTTAAATATTAAAAGCTGTATCACTGTATTTGTTCTAAAAGTTAACTATTGTATATTAATATAAACATGTACTTACAAATGTTTCCTCTCTGCAAAACAGATTACAATCCCATAATATTAAGCAATAAATTCACACTGGATTCTATGTTTAGCTTTACTACTTGTTTACTGTGTGACTTCGGGAGAAATGCTTAGCATTTCTATGTCTTGTTTTATGTATACCTACGAGAATTATCAAACTGGTACCTCCATATTCTTTTTCTTGGGGCCCAATTATTGTTTCTAAAACATTCTGTTGCTGCATACTAACATACTGTAGTCTTCTGATGGGAATGACACAGCCTGGTGTTGAATACTGTGATGACTCTTGTGCCTATACTATACCATCTCAAAAAGAACATCAGCTATGTACACAGGATAATTTTTTTACCTGCTGTCCTTCGGTGCCTTCTGCAGTAACCATTGCTACAGAATGTGTTCCTGCAGAAGAGATGACGGCGTCGTGGGCAGGGACTGTGATAGTGGTGCCATCTTGTGTTACCATAGTGATTGTATTTCCAATGGCCTGCATATCTGCCTGAGATATGTTGACCTGAAACATAACACAATTCCTGAAGTAAAGAAGGTTTAATTGCTGCTCAAGTCATACCTGAGTCTTAGCTTTCAGCAACACAATCCTGTTTTCGGGTAAATGTTTTTAACTGAGATTTGAAAAAAAAATCAGAGTTTGCACTTGCACTGTAGCAGCATTCATCAAACACATTCCTGCTAGTTGATTCAGCAGCAGAAGGTGCAACTTCACGTTCCTCATCTGAAACAAACTGCCTGACAATCCAGAATTAGAAGGCAACTTATTCACAATAGCACTGAAAAAAATACCCTAAGTCCCATTTGCAGTTACATCCTGTCCACAAGTTACAGCAGCTATTATTCCACATTCTGATGTACTCATGCATTTCCTGAGAATCACTGTCACTCTCTGGCCAATTCCCAGTCTTGGATGAAAAGCCCTTATTACAAACATCTTATTGATGGAGATCTAACATCCCACATGTATACACATGTATCTCTTTACAGAAATATAATTATGGCCCAGCACTGAGAAAGAGTTGTGTGCTTTCAATCAGAGTCTGGAACTCCATGTCAGTCAGATCATACCCCAAAGAACTGCATGCAAGGTTATCTATGCATGCGTCTTACACAAGAGGACAGTGAGACTCAAGTTGCATCACATGCTTTTATCTTAATGGAGACATTAAAGAGGTTTGGTAAGGACTTAGAATTAAAACCACCAATTAAAAAAATCATTTAAAAATTGATATAAATTACTGATGTCTCCAATATAAATGTATTAGGGCATCAGTTAGTGATTTGATGATTTGCATGACTTAGAAGGCAAAACATTCCAGAATTGAAATCAAGCTGAAGGATTAATAGATATGAGAAGAACTCCATGTCATGGCTCTTAAAGGCCTTCATTTCCACGGGTAAAAATGTTGATTCCTTAGTACTGCTGCAGTGTTCAGGGCTTGCAGTCCCCTTTAATGTTTCATCTCCAATTATAATTTAGAAGATATTTTTCATATTCTACTGGTGCAGCAGCTACCTCCTCAGTTGAAATATGATTTTTTTTCCCATTATGCATTCAATGTATTACCAGAGTTAAACTGAATAACTGTGCTGAAATCTACTTTCAGTGGGTTTCTTACCCATTCCTAAAAAAAAAACTATCCAAAGGAACTCTCAAGTAGAGGTAGTATTATTCTATTTTCTCATCTTCTCATGTTCATATTAGAAGTTGTAAGAATTGAATACTACCAGTTTGTGAAACATGCACTGGGATTAAGTAGATTATTTTTTCTAAAAAGTGTCTGCAAACGAAGCAACAGTGATATCAGTGATATTATTCTCCTAATATCAGATATTAACAGAATAACCAGGAAACTCTGGAAAACCTCAGCAACTGTGTTGCACATGTAACAGCTGTTATACAGCCTGTGCCAATAGTATGAGCATAATGAACTTCCAGAGGTTTTAACTGATAAAGGATAGACCAAAAAATCTAAGATCGTATTCATATAGTTTCAGATAAGAGAATATATAGTTGAATTTAGGTGTTCCAGAGGAGATCCAATCCTAAACATATAGCATAATCTTCAAATAAGTTTCTTTCCATGAGAAATCAAAGCACATATTTATCAAAGACACACGAGCCTAAACTCTCAACATAATTTTGTCACCTCTTCAGCAAAAATTTACTTACGTGTTGGGTTCCATCCTGGGAAATTAGCGCTACTTGTTGACCTAACCCTGACTGAGTAACTGTAGCAACTTGTGCAGAAATTACGTCCTCTCCCTCTACACCTGTCACATAGGCTATTTGTGAGCCTTTCAGAACATCTTCTCCTTGACCTATTTGATACAAAGAAGGCAAGAGAGTAGTTTAGTTTGGATACTCTAAATACAGGCAGGAAAGATAACCAACAAGGAATAAACACCAGCCTGGTTTGATGGTTTTTAAACACTTCAGTGGAAAAGGGATAGTTGAAGGATGAGAAGAGACATACAAATGCTACTCACAACAAAAATATATTACTAGTTTATACTCAAACATTAAAAAGGCAACAAACCATTTCTAATTCAATCTTTAAATGTTAATTTCTCCAAGCAGGAGCCTTCGTGAGAACACAAATGGCAGTTTTTAAGAGTTATTCATTAACAGACAGAGGAATACAGTGATGCCTTTGTGTGAAGATTTCAGTTAATTATCTTAATAAATGTTTAACTTCAGTAAAAGAATCCTATAATTCCCTCAAAAGACGGCATGAGACTATAGCAAATTTGCTTGAGGCGTTCAGTGCTGTTTCCCAAATACATGTAGTAAAACAGAACCCTTTGCATCTGCATTTTCTATCTTCAGACAAGTCACAGTTTGGCAAATGATAACTGTTCTCACACGGTATTTCTTTTAACCTCATTTTTATAGTCACAAGATACTACTCATAACATGAAAAAAGTTCTTAGCTAATTTTCATCTTTGCCCCTAGGACCTAAATTCACAGACACTGCTATTAACTGTCACAAAACCACCACAGGATCATGGTGCTGCACAGGCAGATTTTTCCTTTTCACAAAGCAGCGCCTTTAT